TACCAAGAAGAAATATAAATCACATTAGCATTGCCCCATCAAAATCATTCAGAAAATGGAGGAAAAAGACGATAAGAAAGAAGGGTCCAGAGTCATCCACTCTCATCCAACTCAGAAGCTAATTACTTTTCTCCACTGACACCATAACATATTTTATTTTTGGAGGTTGACAAAGAGCACAGTTTAATTTCTCTACTCGTTCCCATTGTTGGTCTCTCGTGGTATTTTCTTTCTAAACATGTTCTAGCTGTTTCACATGATTCTTTTTCCACTCTGTTGTGTGAAACACCTGTATCCATGCACTGTTTTTGCAAGATCTGAGATTTGTTTTTTAGCAAAAATCCATGATTTGCCACATGTCCTATTCATTAAAACCAAAGAAGACAAATACCGTAACGTTTGATTGATTACAGTTTACAATAAAAAGGACAGCAAAAAGAAAAGCAGCATTGGTATTTTTTTTTTTAATGTTGCAGGCACTCACTCGTACTAGAATTATATAGCACCAAAGCTCAAATTTCAAAGCACAATTACACAAGATAACAGAGGGGAATTATGATGTAAAAGCATAAAAACCTCTTCGAAACCAAAGGTGTTTTAAGCTTGTAACAATTAATAAGGGAATCCTATTTCTCCTTGTTTGTCCTTGTAACGAATCTTCTTTCCAGACTCTTGGATACTGTAGTCAAGTTTGAAGCATTTGCTTGTCATCCTAAATGCAAAGGGATCAATCTAACTCATTCATGTGCTTTGCAGATGATCTGCTGATCCTTACCAAAGGCAATCTAGATTCTGTTATAAGGTCTTTTACTCTCTTTTTTCTCGTTTGTACCTAAATTGTACCCAAAGTAGTGAGCTTTTTTTTTTCATCTGGTATCAGCAGGGAGTCCCCTCAAGAATTTAGCAGGTGTCTGGGTTTAAGCTTGGCAGTTGGCACTCTTCCTATAGGTATTTGGGTTGTCCCTCTTGTTTCAAGAAGGTTCACTGACAAGGACTATGCTCCATTGATTGAAATGGTCACTGCCAGGATAAATAGTTGGGTTGCTAAGTTCTTATCTTATGCAGGCACGCAGTCAGGCTTCAGCTTCTCCAATCTATTCTTTTTAATCTCCAGAACTATGGTGTAGGGATTTTATTCTTTCTAAGCATTTCATTAAGAGGATCAATCAACTTTGCTCCGGATCCTTTTTGACCGGTAAAGATAGTTCCACAAAAGGGGCTGGAGTCAACTGACAATTCATTTTCCGTCCAAAATGAGACGGAGGTCTTGGGCTTAAAATCTTCTAACCTGGAATCAAGCTTGCATAATTCACCATATTTGGTCTATATTCAGTAAAGCAGGATCACTATGGATTGCCTGGATTCAGGTATATGAACTCAAGGGAAGAAAAATCTGGCATGCATTAGTAGAAACTCAAGGAAGTAGTTGGAGTTGGAGAAAATTAATTATTACAGTTCAGGCAGATGGCTACTCAATTTATAACGCAGCAAGGTTGGAGAGCAGTCTAGATTTTTCCTAGATCTAGATATTCAATGACTTCAGCTGGAATGAGATCAGTCCTAAGCAGCGGAAAGTTGGTTAGGATAGATTGTTGTGGTTCACACATCACATTCCTAAGCATGCAGTGATTTCCTGGATGGCCAGGCCATTCATAGCAGACTTCTTACTAAGAATCGGCTCCTTTCACGGGGATTGGAACTGAAGCAGGTTGTATGTTCTGCCATTGAATGCAGGAAACTAGAGGTCATATCTTTTTTGGTTGTGGTTTCCAAAAGGGCATCTAGAATGAAGATTCAAACTGCAGAATAAATGTCTATTGACTTGCACTAACTTATAATGAATAAGATGAAATGTCCCATTAATTAATTTACTTCCATGATATTGACAAGGAGCTCTCCCTTTATTCTTTCCTGCCCCACATGTATATTGATCACAAACGAAGCTGCAAGGAAATGGCCAAAGGGGCATTATAAACAAGTATGGAATTCAATTAAATTCATCTACTCGTGGGATTGGACTTGATGGGTTTAATTTCCGGAGTTCTTTTTTTTTTTTTAATTATTTTCCCCTTTCATTTGCTTGAACACGGTATTGATGATGTTGGAGACGTATAATTGAGAACTTCACATACACTCCATGTGTTCTTAATAAGTGTATGAGGCAAAGATCGCCATGATGCCAAGCGAATTATGAGTGGACTCCAAGCATCCAACTCCAAGTAGAATCGAAAGAAGCTTATCCTGCAAAAAAAATTTTAAATAAGAAAGATCTTAATTTGACATGTTTCTTTTGATTCTTCAAATTACATACCCGAGCAACGAAGAAATAGGCTAAGATTTTGCTTAGCACATATATATACATGATACTATGATTCACTACTTCTAAAGTTGGGATATTTAAAAGGTTAGTTCCAAAAGCAAGTCTCACAGGAACTTCCCCAGCTTTTAGACTGAATTAGCTTATACCATAAACCACCAAAGTAATAGACCCCACGTTGCCCACGCCCTCACCGACCAATGCTTTGCGAAAGAAGAAGATTTTAGTGGACTCTTCAATCATTTACGTTTTGGTTTCATAGCTCATATGGGTAACTTTAGAGGATGAAGAATATGTATATACAGGTTACAAAGTAAGCTGGCCATATTACCTACCATATAAAGCAGTTAGAACTATTAATATACAAGGGCAATTGTACAAAGTGGAGGATCCCCCCATGGCCCAGACCTTGAGGAAAAAGCAAAATAGAGGCCGAGCTCTTTTCTCTTTCCAAATACAAAATAGAGGACGTGATGGATAGAAGCATGCCATTGATTATATGAAACATGAAACAAAAGCTATCATTCTGCTTATGCCTTTCTAAATTATGACAACACATCTTACTCAACGGAGCCGAAAAACGACTTGAGATCCAAGATTTATTGCATTAAAACTTACACACCTGTTACCTTAATGAGCAACTAAATTATTAATGGTTCTCAATGGCTTCCTTCTCTTCTTGATGGAAACACCCCTTTACTTGGGGTTCCTTTGCATGCACTAAAGCAGTAGAAAAAGGAAGATGACTTGAACTAATTTTTAAATAAACTCATTGTTTCAATTTAGTGTAGATTTGGAAAGGAGAAAACTTAAACATTTTCTTTCTTCTCTGGAAGATTGTCCATGCCTTGGGGAAGAGGAAGTAAGGGATCATAAAAAAGATACCAATCTGTAAAGTGATTTGACCATGTTTCCCGCACAAGCACTTCTATATTTTCAGTTAAAATAAAAAAAAATGGAATACTTTGTCCCACTGTACTTGCAGATGCTCTTTTCTCCATTCTCTTTACAAATACATATTGCCTTCCCAAGATGATGTAAGAGCTTCACTTATATATTTTTATCTTTTTTTTTTTAATTAAAGTGATATTTATGTATCTTCAAATGATGCAGCATTCAAAATTAATAGTAATACCAAGTTTACAATTAACAATCACAATGTTATCTATATATATATATATATCAATAGTTTCATTTATAAAGTTTCACCAATTCTTCTCTGCTCAACAATTGTCTGATTTTGAAGTTTTACATGATTTAGATTTTGTTACTTTAAGATTGTCCATGTCCAAATTCATCCAAACACAACGTTGCCAGTGCTTTAACCAGCGGGGCCGAAGAAGACTCCTTCACGGACCTTCAGGCCCAAAAATTTGCCCTTTTTGGCAGATCCCTAGATATTCATATCAGGAGCAAGCCTTTTCCTCTTGCGACATGTCAGTGGGCTGGGTTTTCTGAAGAACGAAAAAAATTGGCTCTAACTAATTATGAAAGGAAAAAAAAATGAAGGAAGAAGGAAAACGATTTGGGTGGAGGACCATTAGGAGTTTTGGGCACCATATCAGAAATTATAAAGAAGAATGAAGTTTAATTTAATTGTTTCATATAATTATATTTAAGATGTAATATTTAATATATATGGTATTTAAATTTCAACACTTAAAATATTTTTTCATATCTTATGATATGATTCTTTTGTACCAAAAAAAAATGACGAAGATGTACATTTATGTATCATGAATTCAGAACATCTTCATCCTAATAGTTGGGGACAATGGTGTTGTAAAGGTCAACAACAATATGCCTTTGGAGCCACCAAAGAAGCTTATTTTTAACTACTACTACCATTAGAATGCCATCAAACAACAAATACTAGTACAGTAGGAAACTATCAAGCCTTTTTAGGACCTTATTGATTTATGGGTAAACCCCAAGGTCTAGCAAGCCTTGTTGCAATTGTTAAATGCTCCAGGTTTTTTCTAAAGAGCATCCCAAAGCTCGAACTACAAATTTTGTGCTAAAGAAACAAACTAGCAAGCAATTCCTCTATGGCAATGTCCTTCGTAGCATTCAACTAGTGGCAAAACAAGTTCGTTAGAGCCACCCTCGTAACAATCGACCCTGATGGCAAATGGCAATGGAGGATTGGATAGAGAAATTGCACGCAAATCAATAGAGCGCGTTAATTCTCCTTTTAATAAAATCCATGCCGTACGCGCTCGCTGCGTGCCTCGTCCCACGTCGTACCCTTTTGCCAGGGATCCCTCTCCCACTACCTCTGCCCTCTGCCAACCACATTAAAAAATCACAATATATCGAACCAAAATCGTTGCTTTTGCATTGTTTTATTCCCTCCTCTGCCTGCGCCTACAAAAATCACAACACTTTTGCTTTGGTCCAATTTGATCGTCCATCAAAATATGAGGATCAGAAACAGTGGTAGTCACCATCAACGCTCCATTTCACCTCCACCTGATGTTCTCTCTTCTATACTACAACAACCACCCTCTCCACCGCCTTATAAGCCATCATTTTCCCCCACCAAAGCCATGAAGACCACTCCTTTTTCCTCCCCACCATCTGACCAACCGGCGCCGCATGTCATGATCAGTAGAATCAACGCCCAACTTTCCTCCATCCATAATGGTTCTGATAGCAAAGATAACTTCTTTACCAATGGCCCCTTTGCTCAAGATGAAAGTACCACGAATGATAGCTGGTCCATGTCAACTAATAAGAGGTTATACAAAAAAGTTTCCATCTTTTTAGTAATTTTCTGTTTTCTTTTCACCCTAATGAATTGTTTTTTTTTTTTGGCATGTTTCTACAGTTTTGGGCACAGCATTTTTGGTCAGACATCAACTTCAAGCTCAGTTTCTTCATCCCTATCTTACGATGGTAAAAGTTCTGAAATTTTAAATAAAAATGTTACCATCTTTCTTTTCATGTTGGGTTTTTATTTGGCACGATATAGGGTGGTGGTGCGAGGAAGAAAGAGCAATACCATTGAAGAAAAGGAGAGTAGTAGTGACAGTCAGCCACGAAAAAAACCAGAGCAAAGAGATGATGAAGAAGGGTGCATTGGAGGAGGGTTATGATCAGAGGTGCAATAGGGGGAATGGGAAAGGATGGAGGTGTGACAAAATGAGGGTGAAGGGTCATAGCTTGTGTAAGCACCATTTGGAAATGCAAAGGATGAGAAATAACAACAACCCCGGCAGAAACCAAGAGGATGAATCCTTGGCCGTTAAGGATAGAGCCAACCAAATCAGGGAAAACAAGAGGGTCCGGGTGGTCAAGGCTCGATCCATGAGTAGCTTGCTTAGAGACACCGTTCCATTGTTATACTATTAATGGTTTAGTTTAATAGGAAAGTAGTGGAGTTGAAAATGGTAGAGTAACAGAAGCAGGAAATGTTTTTTTTTTCTTATGCTTTTGCATCAAATTACGAATGAAATTGTGTATAGGTTTGACAGAAACCGGAAATGAAAGAGAGACATGGTTGCTTCCTTTCTATTTCTGTCCATTTTCTTTAGAATTTCCATGTTGGGTGCTGCTAAGTGTTGCTCACCTAATATATATTATTATATATTTTTAACTTTCCTTAATATTATAGTGGGTTACATTGTATGATGATTTTACCAAAGTTAATAGGCATTTGGTGTAACCAATTAAGAGGCAGCTAAGCATAATGGAGACAGCTCGTAATATATAGCATTTATCTTGATTATATTAATTTACCAAATCTAGCTATTAATGGAGAAAAGAAAAAAACACCATTGCTCCATACGTCTGAAATAAGGGTTTAAATGATATATTAGTATTTGTAAATTATTCAAGTTCAATTAGAATAAAACTTGAATTCGATTCGATTATTATCGAGTCGAGTTCGAGTAGCTTAACTCAACTCATCGATCGGTTGAGTTCATGTATTCTTATATTCAGCTCGAGTAGCTCGCGAGCTTAATCAAATTTTTATATTTAAAATTTTTTAATTATTTTAATTAATAAAATATATCGAATTCGAGCTTGAACTCGAGCACAAATAATCGAATTTTTATTGAGTATAAGAATCGAGCTTATTTTTACATATTTTCGAGCTTAATCGAGCTAATTCGAGTAACTTGAATTCAATTACGAATCGAACTTGAGCTAAGAAAACGAAACTCAATCGAGTTCGAACCGAATATCGAATCAAAAATTGGGAGTTGAGTTCGAATTCAAATTTCTTACTGTATCAACTCAACTCGACTCGATTACACCCTTAACCTAAATAAAAAATCTTATCAGTTGCAAGAAAAATAACTACTTGGTTGTTGAAACTATTCTATAATTTTTTCAAAAGAAAGTAAATGCACAAATAAAAATTAAATCATATATAATTAATCAATTACTACATCACATATAAATATAAATTTTAATATAAAATTAAATCAAACTCACACGTAAAATAAATTATAACTCATATATTAATGTCAGTAACATACTGACAATTATGTCATCACTGCTTATTCATAATTATTTGATTAATTATGTCATCATTCATAAAATAATTAAAAAAAAAAAGAATCAGCTCATGCATGCAATATTTTTATTATACTCTTTCTCAGTTTTTTTTTCGTATCAAAATAAAAAATTACATTAACAAAAATAGATTTACAGCTTAAAAATACGAACAGTATGTTTCTTCTTTACCATTAAGACAATATGTTATTGGTACAACAATATTTAGAAATAAAAAAAATATATGAAAACTCTGTTAAAAAGGCTTGCATCCCTAATACTAGGATGATTAAGACAAAACATAAGGACATAAGTGTTATTATATGTCACTATGATTGGATTGTCAACTAGAGCAACATCAAAGCTAAAGAACTAGTTGCTCTTATATATATATATATTTTATTTAAAATTATCAAAATATTAATATTAATTATTAAAATATAATATGTTATCAATAAATCACAAAACAAAATAATTTATATTGACGTCATTACTTTAAATTATAAACATTTATCGTCATAATATTGAAAAATCTACATTCAAGCGGTCACAAGAAGATCAAACAGCCCTTGAAAGAAGAACAAAACAAAACATAGATGAGGATATTGGAAATTGATAGAAAAAATAAAGAGAAATTATTTAATATAGTGAAGTTTTTTAATTTTATTAGCAGAGTTTAGATAATAATATATGTAATTTTTTTAATTAAAATTTTTAAATATATAAAAAATATGTGTCATTATCTGACTTGCGGAATAAAAAAATTATACTTTAAATAATTTCTCAAAAATTAAAAAAAAAAGTTAGCAACTTGGCATTTGTGGTCCCCACATCCCATTCACCCCCCCTTTCCTTGTGGATAAGATTTTGTTTTTTTCAGCATTCTCTCTCTCCTTCCTCCAAAGTTTCAATCCCACACAAAACGCAAAAAAAAAAAAAAAAGAAAAGTCTTAACCTTGGAAGCCAATTAAGCGTTTCTTCAACTTTTTCACAAACCCTTTTGCCTAATTATCTGATTTGTGAGTTCCTATCACAAAAACATTTTCCAAATATTGGAGTAGAAAGAAAAAGGGAAGATGTCAGTTTTGCCTGGAAATTCTCAAATTTTGTACAGAGAAATCTACCAACAACAACAGCTTTGGAACAATGGGAGCTGTTTATTGTTGCAAAAAAATTGTGGGTATTTTGGGTTTGATAGGAGTAATAGAAAATGGAAGAAGAATATTGTTAGGAGAGATTGGAGAGTAGAATCTTTTTGGCCTGATTTGTCAAGACCAAGCACGGTTGAGATGGAACCTATTAACGACTGTGATCAGCTTGATCAGATTCTGCTTCGTTCTCAAGAGCTCTCCCGGCCTATTCTCATTGACTGGTTCACCCTCTCTCTATTCAACAGAGCAGAGCCATGTTTTTATTAATCTAATCTTTCCTTGATTTGCAAAAGTTTGGGATCTGATTTTGTTTAATTGTTGATATATAGGATGGCTGCTTGGTGCCGGAAATGCATCTATTTGAAGCCAAAGTTAGAGAAATTAGCAGCTGAGTTTGATACCAAGTAAATTTGCCTCCTTTCTTTTTTATTAGTTCATATTTACAATATTAAAACTTTAACTATGAAGTTAAGAGTTGCACCATGATGAGAAATTTTATCATCACATTAGCTCAAAACTTTAACTAAAACTAGTTTAACTATGAAATGCTCTTCTCATGTTACAATCAAATAATGTGTTGGTGATATTTTCTTGACAAATTCTTGTTTATTCTTAGAATCAAATTTTATTATGTGGATGTCAACAAGGTACCACAAGTTCTAGTGAAGCGGGGAAACATCTCTGTATGTAAATGACTTGCTTAATGCTTCGTGTTCAGTTTCCTTCCTCTTTTTAATCTAATTCAATCTTTTAACATTTTTTATTCACCTTTTTTTTGTTGCTTTTGTTTGTTTCTAAGCAGAAAATGCCAACAATTCAGGTGTGTTCACTATAAAATTAAATCCAGTTCTTTGATACTGAAAGAGAATTAATATGAGATTGACAGAAAGATCTAAAGTAATTTTATTGCAGGTATGGAAGGATGGAGAGATGAAAGAAGAAGTAATTGGAGGGCACAAGGCATGGCTTGTGATTGAAGAAGTGAGACAAATGATCAAAAAATTTGTCTGATAAAAACTACTGGGAAGTGGAAACTATCACTCTTTTCTGTACAATTAGCCCTTTTTTTCCCCTCTACTATGCCATGATAATGATTATACTCTCACTTCCTATACAAAAAGTCATATTTGTACAGTAAAAGTAATTCCATTAATCAGTGTTGGTGCATCAAGCTAAAGATGCAATTTAATTTGATGAAATTATCATGGCCATCATGCACTGATTCAGTGTAGATGTATGAAGCAATATTGAAATTCATATTGCTTGTCTGCTGGTACCAGAGTCTGAATTCTGATAAACTTTGAATGCTGTCGGTCATACATCCAAAACAAAATTATTTTTTTAATACTAGGGATGGGAGATTTGAATCCTATGCTTTGAATATTATATTTACATTAATTATTGAATCAAATGCAGAGTCAAGAATATATAACAATTAAAATTTGAAACTTGATAGGCCTATTTGGCTTATTAATCTTGTTTGGGTATTTCACGCCATAACCCCAAGGCATTGTTCTTAACTCTCGTAAGAGACATTAATTATGAGTTAACTAGATATTGGATTTTCAGGAATACAAACGTAATATCATGTCGCTTTGGCCGAGTGGTTAAGGCGTGTGCCTGCTAAGTACATGGGATTTTCCCGCGAGAGTTCGAATCTCTCAGGCGACGATAAGCCCATTTTTGCTCGTTGAAGGACACGAGCCGCGAGGCCTCATTCTTTTTCTTGTCTGAGATTTGGAGCCACAGTGTAAAATGCGACCAATCTAACGAACAAAGCTTCATTTTTTCTTTAAACTTTCCATATTTCCCTTCTACCACAGACAATAATAGAAAAAAAAAAAAAAAGAGACAAATACTCCAAGGAAAGGATCTGATAACCATTGCCCTTCATTAATCTGTTTGCTTTAAATCCCTTCCCCTTTGTAGTATTCAAACAATACACTGACTGTAGCCATCTCAAATAACAGAAACGTGGAACATTGATCATTACATTTTACGCAATAAAACTTAGGTCACATCAAGAGGAGCAAACTTCACTCCTGCCAAGGGTTCTTACTTCAACATACGTAGATTGTTTAGGCAAAATTTATCCATCTCTTATTTTGTTACCAACGATAGGGTAATAAATATGGCGTTCATCAGATTTTCGAAGAGCTAGGGACGAAGAACCTTGAACACAAGAAAACCCCTTATTAAAACCCCAGGACATCATCACATTACAAAAGGAAATGGAAACTGCGATGGCTAATTCTTAAAAGGAGTAACGACACTCGAAACAACTCATAGTGGACACCTAAAGCTTCAACGACCCAGATGAGACTCATATTATATCTAGCCCAGGGCTACCCTATCTCGGCGAAGTTTTCCACGTGAAAGACGTCATCATGCGAGCTCGAAAAGAACTTTTGAATCTGCGTTATACAGAAATATTTAATGGAAATAGATGCACAGAAACATTCTTAAAGATGGATAAAAAATATAACGGTAAGGAAAAAATCCTGATAAGGGGCAGGAGTAGAAGTTTCGATCATGTCCAACCGAGGGAAAGAATCCTTCCCATATTGCTGTAAGACACATTGAAACCTGTTATTAACTCATAGAACGCATGCAATGACGCAGTCATTCTCGCTCTGCTACTAATGGTAGTACTTGATGCTGTGTAATCCGTCTTTACAAATTACATCATCTTGGTATGTCCACTACTAAAAGAGTATTTCACTAATATATATAGTTGATCATCCCATCAAAGCATTGAGATCAGGCTCACTTCAACTACTCACGCACTTGATAGCACTAAATAAACATCTTATTCTCAGTATACGAAGCGCTCTTTAACTCTAGTTATAAGCCATTTTGCAAATGGATATATATATCCAACAAAAACATAAGTTAATCATCATCAACAATTTGAATATCCATCTACCTGCAAAACTTAACCCCTGTCAGCCAATCCTCATCTTTCCTCTTCTAAGCTCGTAATTGCTTTGTTGTACCTAAGCATACTCCGTATTAGGTAGCCTAATATGTTTCTTCATGCTCTTTCAAGTGCCAACACAGTTGGCTAAAATACCGAAGTGCTTCACTGTTAACAATTCAACATATCAAGTACAAGAGAAATTTGATTGCAAGTACAAGGAATGCCACATAACAAACTTCTATATGATTATGCCCACTACGAACTCAGAAACAAGATCATGCTTCCCATTGTATTGGCAAACTAATCAACCAAAAAGTATGACTACATATTCACCACCCAACTCTGGTCCAAGCTCCAGATATTAAAATGAAAACCAATTCAAATACATCCTAAAGCAACGGCTTATCCTAAAACCTACATTAACTGGAGTAGTAATTAGCCTGATAACACCGCTGGCAAAAAACGGGAGCTCATTAATCAAAATTCAAACTACATCAGCATAATCACAAAACCACCAAACTCCCCCAAGAAAAATGCACCAGCCAAGTACCAGACTTATAGCATTTGATCCCTACTTCTCTTCTTGTGAAAACATGGATACCATCGGAAAGCAAACCAGACTTCAACTTGCCCTTCAGACCTCATCCTTCTAAGACCTACTGCGAAACAGTTCTTATGCTTTTGACAGAAGAAAGAGAAGAATACAATTGACCTCTTCAGAATTCTAACAAAGCTTAGGAACAAGAAGTAAAAATCGTACAGAACTAAACCAGCACCGTGATCAGGATTTTCACTCTAAGAACATCATAAAACCATCATGAACACAAATCATTTGAAAGTACTGTAAGGATTAAGGTCCTATAGAGGAAACAAATGCAAACTGCTGGAATTTAAATAAAGTCACCATAAGAAAACATTTTCGTCATTGTCAAGGTTATAAGATTAAAGGCAACATTCGATAAATTGACACACAAGATAACAATGAGACTCACTCCGTCCAACTTTCAAGTTTAAAACCATGAACCAATAGACCAAGATCAGGATTGCAAGGCTCATACAAATCTTTCGCAATTATTGCCGAAAGAAAGAAACAAGTTTTGACAAAATTCCAAAATTAAAAAAAAGACCATTTCCTCATTTAGGAATAAATTAAATCATATTCCAAAACCAAATACTGCCCGTATCTTATTGAAAATAAGATCCCTCCATCCTCTCTCAGTGTTCTCCACCACAGTCGCATTCCCATATCTGCATAACAAATCAACATAAACTCCAAATCAATAACCCAATTCAATTTGCAACAGATTATTCACATTACACAATAAACAAACAAAAATGAATAAAGACCAACCTGTCCTCCTCAGGAACATCCGTATGCGTTAGTTTGATGATAGTAACGCCAGGCTCAGGCTCATCGAAGTCAAGTCTTACCTGCAACCACAACCCATTTAAAGAAAAGCCAACATTCAACCACAGTCTAAATCCAAAAAACATCAAAACAGTCAAAAGTGAAGACCAATGAACTTACTGTAGAATCCACCCCATCAGGCCAACTCCCAAATCTCCATCTCTGAGCAATCAACTTGCCTTCTTGCAACTCCAAATTACTCCCAGTAACCGATCCATCAAAAATACTAAACTGCCCACCAACTTCTTTACTAATCCTAGCGTTACTCTGAGTAAACCCTTTCCATCTATTCTCATCCATCAAAATCTCATACATATCCTTAGCTCTACAATTGAACTTCTCGGACATGGTTATTGTCTTAAACCCTTTTTTCCCTTCCTTTTTCACTTCCTTCTTTGCCTCCTTCTGCACCGCAACTTTCTCCTTAGACACCCCAGCTGAATCACTATTATTATTAGTAACTTTGGGAGCCAATTTCTTGGCTTCCAGTTCATCTTTGGCCGGTCCTCTTTTGGCCATAGTTTGAACATAATCCCTCACTTTCTCCAAAACCAAAGGCTTCCCTTTGGCCAGCATTGCTTCCTTCAACGTTTTCCCAATCGGTCCTTCATCTTTAACTGTCACCTTAACTTCCGGATCCTCGTCTGCATTCTCATCCGAAATATACGGAATCTCGACATTACCTTCAACTCTCAGCAGCGACTTCCCTTCTCCATCTTTGGCTTCGCCTTCCCAGGATAAACTTAAACTGATCTCATATCCGGGAATGATCTTACCCTTCCTGACATTAACGTAGGCTTCGCCGTCGACCTTTTCAACCTTCTTGGTCTTGATGTGGAGATTGCCTTCGCCGTCAAGGATGGTGAGATTGGAAAGGGATTTGGTGAAGAAGGTCTTTGACCATGGGAGACAATCGGTTTCTGCCCAGTGCCAGTTGTGGACGTTGGCTCCGTCGGGTCGTTCCTCCACGATCCAACGCTTGTCACCTTCGCCATACTTTGCCATCAAGAGGATGAAGAAAATGGGCGAGTTTGAATTGAGAGAGAAAGAGAAAGTTGGTTTCTATGTTTGGGAGGGGTTTCGATTGAAGGGAAAGCTTAAATGGGGTTAAGGGGGAGAAAGGGGATCAAAGGGCTTCTCTGGAGGCTACGGGGGGCCAAGAAGACTCTAGAATGTGGAAGTCCGGAGGAAAAGGGGATTGATAAAAAATTATTTACCTAATGTTTTGTTTTTGGAAGGATCTGGAAAGACTAACAACTGTATTTTTTCTACTTACCGAATATTTCTAGTTAACAAATTTTTTTTATTATTTTTTTATAAATCTTTTTTATTTATTAGAGATAATGTTATTAATAATCCATAAATTATAGATCAATATAATATTTAAAATTTAAAAATATTTAATATTTAATTTATTAATTTATTAATTAATATGATATTTAAAAATTATTTATTTATTACATATTATTATTTAAAATTAATCATATTAAAATGAAATAATACATTAATTATAAGATTTAACGTATTAAAATTTTTAAAATTAAAATATTATATTAAATATTTTATTATAATTTAAAAATCATTAATAATATAAAAATTTTGAAAATATAAAATGAGAGTTTCCATTCATTATAAAAAATTGCAAAATTAATTATTTATTATTTTTATACAAATAATCACAAATTATTTTTAATTATAATAACATATATAATTTAATTCATAAATTTTAAAAATATATTGAATTATAAATATATTTATTAATATAATATATAAAAAATTATTTATCATGTATCATTTGAAATTAATTAAAAATAAATATAACGTTAATTAATAAATTTATAATTAAAAATCATTCGCGATTCACACGTTAACCCTTTATATAATTAGCCTTTTCCAAAATTAACTATTTATTTTAAAAAAAATTAAAACTAAAGAAAAAAATCCGATATACCATGCATAAGCAAACACCCGCCAAAACCCCAGACAAAGTCAACCAAACTCCTCCCCTGCATGCTTCAAATTTTGACCAAAATCAACATCATTTTTTCTCCTTTATTTTGGCTCCAAATGAACGGAACGCACCGATTCAAACGAGTTGCTTCAAAACCCAACAAATCAATTCAACCGAACCAATCCGGTAATGATCTGGAAAGGCGGGCGAGTCAGCGTTCCAAATCAGCGACCCTTCTTTCCAAACACAAACCCAAACCCAGCCAAAAGCAAACTCAGCCTCAACCCAAACTCAAAATCGAATCTTCTCCAATTTCTGACCCTTCTTTTCCCAAATTGACGATTTTGTCCCCCGAGTTCTTTCAAATTGACGCTCTTGATTTGGCGCCTCGTTTGCTTGGCAAGTTTTTAAGGAGAGATGATGTGGTTCTTCGGATTACTGAGGTAAATTTGCTGAATTTTTTTGTTAATTTTGTTTCGCAAGTTCTGTTTGTTTCTCGGGAAAATATGAATGAAAGTTCCAATTTTGTAGTTTTTGGGTATTTGGGTTTTTTCATTAATTGGCGTAGTTGACTTTTGCTTAAATGCCCATTTGTTTGATTGCTGAGAAAACCAAGGAAAATTGAAGGAAACTCTTTAAATTTTCTTTTTGAGGCTATCTACTAATTGGTTTTGACGTAAGTTTCATTTTTTTTTCTTTGTTATATGTTTTCTAATTTGATTTATTATGTTTTGACAGGTAGAGGCTTATAGACCAAATGATTCAGCTTGTCATGGTAGGTTTGGAATCACAGCAAGAACAGCCCCTGTTGTAAGTTTAGCTCCCTTTTTAATCTTATAATGTGCCTGCTAATTTGATTCTTCCTTCATTAAAAACTTGATAGTTTTAAGATTATTTCTGTTTATTTGGTACTAATAGTAATGGATTTGCTTAATGAGTTGTTATAGTTTGGTCCTGGAGGGCATGCGTATGTTTATCTTTGCTATGGACTTCATACAATGCTCAATGTTGTTGCTGACAAGGAAGGAGTTGGGGCTGCAGTGTTAATACGTGCTTGTGCACCAGTGTGTGGTTAGTTAGTTACTTACTTATATATGCACTTGTACTCTTATCTGTTAAATTGCTAGTATTTCTTATATTTATACCCTATTTAGCCTTTTGTTGTTGCAAATGTAAAGATGATCATACCTTGAGTCATCCTGATTCAATTATTTGCAGTTGCCTACTTATATTTTTCTCTACTGTTGATAGTATCTCATAACTTTGTAACTGTTAAAAGTTTTGGTAGGAATATTCATTTCCAGTATTTCCTTGCACTTCATTACGGTTTCAAACCTTTACATGCTATCAGAAAAGCAAGCATACTGTTTATTGAAAGCAATATTTCTTGAAATATGTGAACACGACTGCAGGTTTGGTGACCATTCAGCAGCGTCGAGGTCAGCAAACTGACAAGCCTATTCTTCTTACTGGGCCTGGAAAGGTTAGAGTTGATTGTTTCCTCTTATTTTTGCAATATTTTGATATTTCTCTTTCTCTTGTACTTAATTGTTTAAAACTTTGTGAAAAGTGCTAGTTAAACTTGGTAATTTTCTTGTTCTTGTCAGTGGTGGCTTTGTTGTTTTGATTAGCATAAATAATTTTTAAATATTAGTTTGGGATAATTAATGCATGAATTCTTCAACAAATGCAGATAAATTCTTGATCCTTTTTCTACCGTGGTATATTGCATCACCCCTACTTGCAAATTCAGAAGTGAGAAGTGACATGAGCTATTGCAACAAAGCTCTGGCTCAATACATTAGAATTGGAGGATTAAGAGGAAATGAAAGTGATGGAAGTGAAAACAAAATTTTCATTTATAAAACTAATCTTTTCTACTAAGTAGGTTTAAAGTGACTCGAACAACTTTGAAAAGATACCGTAATGGCAAGTCTTTAATGGCTAAAAAATTCTTTAAAGACATGAAAGTACCATATGTATTTGCCTGCATGCAAACAGGAGGCTTATCTCTGCCCACACATGTGCACATGGACTTCACAGTTTTTATTCTTTTCTTCTGCAGTTTAGCATTAATGAAAAATTAACTTTTGCCTTCTTTTTGTATTTCAATTCTGTAAGTCATTTAGCAAAAAATGTGTTTGGTTCACCACTCTAGCCAATAAAATGTGGAGGTATTCAATGACATATCAGTTAGGAAAGAAGTTATATGATAAGGACTTAATATTAATGTACAATCAGGTGAGGAAGTTGCTTCTTGTTTGGAATCGAAATATTGGCTGGTTTGCTAAAAATTAACCGGCAAAAATGGCAATATTTAGGTGGTAAATTCTTCCAATCCTTCTTGTGTTAAAATTGATGCAATTAAGCAAACAGACAAATCACCTGAATGAGCTATTAATGCTCTGGACATAAAAAAATATATATATACTATTAGTGCATAGAGTAATGACCTCTATTGCGTAATGTAGGATTGCTGGGCCATTAATATTTACATTTCTGTGTATAGGTTGGTCAGGCACTTGGAATTTCGACAGAATGGTCCAACCATCCCCTTTACACTCCTGGTAATTAGTTGCTACGAATGTACCATAATTCTATTTTCCACTGATACCTAGTTCTGTAATAAACATAAGTGGTTGTGGCATATATAGGTGGTTTGGAACTCTTGGATGGACCAGAGCCGGAGAAGATATTAATCGGTCCTCGTGTGGGCATTGAGTATGCTTTACCTGAGCATGTTAACGCCTTGTGGAGATTTGCCATTGCTGGTACTCCTTGGATAAGTGCTCCTAAAAACACTCTCAGGCTTCCCTAGCTAGTCTTGAACTCCTGGCAGTAAGGAACTCTGTAGGGATTGAGAACATGAATTTGTATTGATCTCTTTTGTTTTCCTTTGTCATTGGATTGGAAAATTGTGAAACATATGTATTTCTATTATTATTGTAAATAAAGCAAGCCTGTAAAGCAAACAGAAAAGTTTCAATATCCTTTTACTTTTCTGCAAATTGGAGTAATGATGCATTTGCATCCTTGGCTTGTAATTGTTGTTATTAATTTGAAGGATTATTTCCTATGGCTTGACAAAAAAATGAGTACAATTAGAAATTAAAGGAAAATTAATTTCACAAAAGAAAGGGAAAAATTTTGTTCTAATATAATAGTAGTTTTATTAAGATTGGTTTCCTTTTTCAACTATGGCTCTGAAGCCGCCTCTCACCAATAGTCAAGGACTCCTTCCGAAATTACTAATAGGGTTAGGCCGATATTCTCGCTATTTTGTGGCTATTTAAACACAGGCGTAATCCCACAAAACACTTAAATATGATCAAACTCTAGCTAGGTTTTAAACTTGAAGCAATATTGTTTATCAGTAGTCCATAACTGCAATTTCTTTGGCCTTAAGTTAGTGATCGTTCATGGAGGGATTTCCTCAAGAATGTGATCAAGTTGATGACTTCGATCATCCCACTGAAAAGCTTGATCAAAGCGTTTATCCCTTGGAAGAGTCCTCTCTTAAACCTGAAGGAAACGATGGTTCTTCCCTGGACCAAGATGAAACCAGAACCCTGCAGGAAGGATCTAATGATTCTGATAAGCAAGAAGAGGAAGACGGCAAAGATAATGGTAATGGTGGAGATGAGTCTTCGGAAGAAAGTGATGATGGTGATTTTCCATTAGAAGAGATTATTGATGATGATGATGATTGGGTTGATTATTACTACGATCAACCTTTGGTTTACGCTTCGTTTGAACGAGTTTATCGTTGTTTCCCACTTTCTTTTGTTGACAAGACACACCTAGAGATTGGTAATAAGATCATTATGCCAGCCGAGGCACTCGTGCCTCTCATGGCAACTCAAATCTCCATGCCTATGCAATTTGAGATTCAGAACCAATCCACAGGAAGGGTATCCCATTGTGGGGTTATCGAGTTCACTGGCGAGGAAGAGGGTGCAGTTTTCTTGCCAGATTGGATGATGAAGAACATGCAACTACATGAAGGCGATCCCATGTTCATGAAGAACAAAAATCTGAAAAAGGGAACATATATCAAGCTACAACCCCACACCACCGACTTCCTGGGGATCTCAAATCCAAAAGATGTGCTGGAAGAAAATCTGCAGAAATTCTCTTGCCTGACAATGGGTGATACCATAATGATCAGCCACGAGGGTAAGAATTTTTACGTTGACATAATAGAAACCACGCCATCTGCTGCTATTAGTATCATTGATGCAGACTGTAATGTGGATTTTGCTCCTCCTTTGGATTACAAAGAGCCTGAAAAGTGTGCAGCTAAAATTGCTTTAGAGAAAGAACAAGAGGAGGCAACTCAGAAACCCAAGTTCAAACCTTTCACAGGTTTAGCAAGACGCTTGAATGAAGAACCTTGTTCCACCAAATTAGATTCAGATTCTTTGCCTAACGAGCAACCGTCAGCTGCTGCTGCCCTTGAGAAAAGGGAGGCTGCCGGAGCAAAACCCATGTCAAAGAGAAGTCCAGAAGGATTAGTCTTCCAAACGGATAGGAACCAGCCTCAAAACAAAGGAAAAGAGCTCACAAGCGAGAATGTGCAAGCTGAAACTTTGAAGGATAAACCAAATCCCTCAAAGTTTCAGCCGTTCACTGGGAAGAAATACACATTGGCTGGGTGACCTTGGCCTTATCCATCATAATGGTTAATTAGTACTAATACTGAGAGTCTTTTTTAATTTTTTAAGTTTCTTTGGCGTGTTTCACTCATTCTAGTATTATTTATCTCAAACTAGAGAACCATTAGCATGATTTTTGATTTAGGAAAAGGGAAATTCAAATCTTGCATTAAGTAGAGACCATAGATGTATCTAGGCCAAACGCTTGTGTGCAAGAATCATTAGTATGTTAAATATTTTGTTTAATGAAATGGGTAAATTTATTGCGAAACACTTAAATTAAGTTTTTTTAATAAAATTTATGAAATTCTCAATAAAATAAAAATTAAAATCAAAAATCAAAATTAATAGACTTAAAAATTTTATTACATAAATTAAATGTGCAAAATTTTAAAAAAAATTTAATAAATTTTGATATATATTTTTATATAAACATTTCTGTTAAAAATATTGACAATTTTTACATTAAATAAATATCAATTAATTTTGAGTTATAAATAATTTTTTTAATAATTTTTTCATATATAATTAATCAAATTCTATCAATTTATTAATTTGAATTTTTTATTAAAATTTTTATTAAATCATTTAAAAAAAAACATTTCACAAACTTCACTTCAAAAATTTTATCCAAATTTCTTTGCCTTAGGAAGCTGAAACAGTTCCAGAAATGGCGAATGAGATTACAATGTTCAATGGTAGCAACTTTATCCATTAACTTCAGGCTTTTTTTATATTTTATTTTAAAGCAAGAGATAGATAAAATAATTCATGTATTTATATGTATTCTACAAAATACGTGTAAAACACGATCCATAAGAAGAACTTTGCCATACAAAGCCCAAATTCTTGGCAACTCTCAATATTCAACACTGAATGGCAACATTTACCGTAGCCATAACAGATATATTAACAGCTGTGGAATGCTAAAGGAAAACATAGAAAACAAATTAAGACCATGGCTGAGAATTAAGTACACATCAGCATTGGAAAAATAAACTAAACTTTACAGGAAACAAAACAGAAGTGATAGTGTCCCACAACAAAAACATGTCATCTCTTTCAAGACAATAGCATCTGCTTTCCACAATAAATTCTGGCCAGACTGCTGGCTACATTTTAATTTTAATGATTTCCCACTATTTAAAAAAAATGTAAACGAATCTGCACCTGACAGGAAGGTCAAAGGAGCAAGCCCTAAAGTAGTACCCGAACAAAGAGTCAGTCATACTTCACACTTCAAAATTCTAGTCCTTACTGATCTCTATTCCATGCCAACATTTAAAACCAATCACTCTCGTTATGGCAACGAGAGATGTTACATATATTACAAGTAGATTAAAGCTCTCTTAAAGTAGAAAATCATGAAAAATACTCAATCTTCTTTGTGCACATTCACGGGGCTACCACATTTTGCGTTGCTAATGAAACTTACAAGCAATTCCAAAAACCAGGCTTTGCAACAATGAAAACCACAACTTAATGCCACAATAAAATACCCAAGGGTATGCCCAAAGAAATAGTTAAGTTAAATAAGAGATATAAAAATCAAGCATATAACATGAATTGCTCATCAATTAACAAATAGAGAAATATGGTACAGATATACAAGCTTAGGACATAAGTTCTGAGAGCTGTAAGAAAACACCAATGAATCATTGGACTATCAGATTCAAAACGTGTACACTACAACATTGAACACCACAAACAAAGTCATAAAGATACCTTCGACTCAACTTCAAAGTGCCAAACAAGCCATCAGAAAGCACACCATCTGAAATGTAAGATAAAGTGTGAGATACCTGGAAAAGAAAAATAGAGCAAAATTTAAGTAAAGAGAGCACAAGTTGTCTTACCTAAAATCAAGCAATGTCATTCAAATCGGTCAGTCTAAATGGTCACCAGGCTATCAGGCGATTGTTCATTCATGTGACAGTGTGGCTGAAATGACCTTAGCGAATTGAAGCACTACATTCATGTCTCAAAATGTGAGCAGCAATTCCTTAAACCCAAATGTATAGACAGCTTTTACAGAGTTGGATGCTGCCGAGTATAAAATTCAGTGAAATCTAACCGAAAGAGGAGGAATTTCAAATCTATATGTTGCTGAACAGGCAACTGAGCTAAGAAACCCTCAAGCAATGATTTATACTCTGTAGCTAATGCATCTAGATCTTGTCCCATATTTTGAAGGAATTCACTAGCACGTTGTGTTAGGGCTTTCCTGCCTTCACTAATCCAAGACCCTGGCTCTGAAGATTTATCCTTTGTTTGCCTCCTTGATTTGGTTTTGTCTCGAGAGTTTAAAGAGGATTCAACGGTTCTACAAAAAGTAAAAAAGCAAGCATAAGGGAACATCTAAACAGGACACTTGACTTAAGATATCTAAATACATGCAAACAATATGAAATGAGTACATACCTTGCTTGCAACTCATGAATTCCTTCATACAACCGATCTGCATGGCTTCTAAATTGTAGTATAAGGTCAAACAGGACAAACAGTGACTTGTAAAGGGTTTGTGATCTTTCACCTAGGAGTGATTTTTCTACAATTGAGTGGAGGTACTTCTCATGTGCTGCAAGGAGATCATCAAGATCTTTGGCTACTTCCATTTCGTTGGAAAAATTGGACCATGATACCTCCAAGACTTCAAACATGATATAGTATTGCAAGTTTGTAACAAAATGATTCATTTCATCCCAAAGAACCTGGCATCGCCTCAATGTTGAAAGCAATTGCAATTTTACTGTACGTTGCAGCTTTGTGAATGCATGAGAAGTAATACAGTTGGGTTTCATAGTCTTCCAAGCGCCAATGAGTGCATGCTCCACTCGTCTAAGCTTCCACAAAAAATTAAAAATTCTTAAATACCTTGTCATGACAGATTCTGTAAACACTGTATCTAGTGGAACCCTAGCATCATATTCCAATGAGAAAACATCCCATCCACGGTCACCCGTGCCATGTGGCATCATCTTAACCCTCAACCGATCTAGTATGTCAGGATCATCATACTGTGCATTAGATGACCGAATTGCACTTTCCAGTAGTCCAGCTAGCTTGAAGGAACTAATAGCATTAGCAGGCTCAGAAAGCTCTGGCCCAACAATATCCATCAGGTACTGAACAAAATCACCCTGCCCTAGCAGCAAATACCGCTTGATTGCGAGACAATGTTCTTTAAACTTATACCTCTTGTATATGACATCCAACAAATGCTTATCAATTCTCTTGGCAGCTTCCATGACCAGAGATTCAAGTGCACCAGTTTCTCCATAACCAAGACTCCCTCTTCTAGTTGTCGTTCCAGCAGCTGCTGCAGCCTCTGTTGCAGCATCAGCCCAACCTCGGTCATCACAACAGACACGAAGAAAATTAATAGACTTCCCAGTCCTGAGAATACGTTGAGCAAGAGACTGTGAAATGAATGAAGGCAACATTCCAGCATGCATCCGGTAACCTTCTCTCCAAAGGGATTCCGCTTTCACTGGTTGCCCCACGATAAAGAACTCAGCAAAAATATCCTCCAATTCCCCTTCCAAAACCCAACTCCTCACCATTTCAAAAAGCGGAGAGCAAACCCTCCTAAGCAATCGCCTCATGAAGTCATGAACAAGTGGGTCACCATGCTGTGCATGCAAATGAATAGCGCCAGCCATTGCCCCACCCCTCAAAACTTTACACTTATCAACCAAAACAGCCATTAATCTCATTTTAACCATTGGCTCAGCAAACCAAACTGACAACCTCCTCAAGGACAAATAATTCCCTGAACTTGCATTCCCCGAAACCAATGGTATCGGATTCGTGGACTGAGCCTCTAGCACAGCCAATAACTTATAATACTCTGATAACTCATCCTGCAAAGCAGCACAAAATGCCTGGCCCACAGTCCCCACATCTTCAGCAGGAAAGCAATCCATACTCTCTGAAATATACCCTTTCACTTTCCTAAACAACCACCCTAATTCACAAAGCTTCCTAACAATAATTCGAGTAGCTCTAGGTACCTTAACTAAATCCGATAAAGCATAACCATCTAAATTACTATCAAGTTTCACATACTTCCCATCAATCCCCTGACAAGCATACAATACATCTCTAACCAAAACCTCTTCAGTCACCTCATTCTCTTCCTTAACCAAATTCCCAAACTCCCTAAACGAAATTTCACGTAAATTTTCGGGGTCTTTTGAAACCAACAAAACCCCATTTTGCCAACCCTTTTCTCTATCCTCTTTAACATTCAAAACCCTTACATGATTTCCTATTTCATCATCATTTAACCGTAAATTAGGCAACAAAATCGAAGAATCCATCCCTTTTCTCGCCGTTTTTCGGTCCTCTGATATAATTTTAAGCAGATAAAGAACAGCCCATTTGTTATTAACGCTGCCCGGACCATTCTTAGAGGCGAATTTGGTGTAGAGATCAGCGAAAGTAAGAGCATCAGAGGAGTTACCTTGAGTGGCGAGACGGCGCTTGATGGATTCGGCGATGGCGTCCGCATCGGGGGAAACGGAAGGGGTTAAACGGCTGGAGAGAATGCGGAGAGCATAACGAAGAGATTGGGAGAAATGAGGAGAGTTAGGGTTTGGGCTTTGAGGGTTTTGTTGAGAGAGTAAGCGACGGACTAGCTCAATTACTAGATCTGTGACTTTGCGTTGATCTTCTTCTTCCATTTCTGAAACAGAAAAGGAAAGGAAGTTTTTTTTTTTTTTAGAAAAAAAAAAGAAAAAAAATAGAGAAATTGGGGAGAAAGGTTTTTGTTTGATTTTATATATGAGCGGCAAATGAAAAAAAAAAATTCTTTAATTTTAGTTCTTTTTCCTTTTATTTTATTACTAAAAATATTTGTTTATTAAAAGTTCTGAATTAATGGGTTTTGTTTGCCCAAAAAGCCCATTGATTTGGGTAATGAGCCTTATGACAAGAGCAACAAGTGTGCCCTAATGGGCTTTTCTTTGATAGTTTCAATTTCCAATTACTAAGCTAACCTCACTTTTTGACAAAATTTTTTAATTATAGGTTATTTTTAGCCTACTGATGAAGTATATCATATTGATTATTATAAATGAGGTGATTTTGAATTTTTTTTTTCTTAAATAAGTTTGGAATTTATTGATTTTTTTTTTAATAAAATTGGCACGTATATTATGGATGTTAAAAGAAAAAAAAAAGCACTAAATAAAGAAAATTGTAATTAATACGTTATCTTTTATTGAATTTGTTGAAAATAATACATTATATGTAAAAAAAAATTTCCTAAAATAGTATTAAAACATTGAGTTTTGTATACTAGTATAATGTATATCAACATCCGCACGGTAATGTAAACATATAACTCTTTTCTTTATGCATGAATTCACCACATTTATTAACTTTACCGTTATTAAAAAGCTAAAGATTTAAAATTTGAATTCTCTTTTGCTTTTTTCAAGATTCTGAAATAGTATATGATTCTTAGTTGAAAAGTCTTGAAAATAGTTTATGCTAAAAGTATTTTAGTGTTTAAAAGGTAAAATAAATATATATATTTTTTAAATATAAGTCAGTTGATAAATAAAAATATTTTGGTTATTTTCGTTAAGTTGACATTTTGGATCAATATAAATTTTCTGAATTTATGTTATCAATTAATGTCACAATATATTAAATTGTCATATATTAAATAAACAGTCAACTATCAGTTTAATTTGAGTTTATAAAATTAATATTAATTTTTTATATTAATCTCGAGTTATTCAAAATGTCCTATCACACAAATATAAATTGTTTCATCTAGGTATTTTTAATTTATCTAGTATCATTAATCTTTTAAAATTTTTTTTATTTCCTTTCTTACACTGAACTTTGAATTAAACGATTGGAGCACAAATATCAAAATAACTTTTAACTTTTATTGTTAACCCTTTTTTTTTTTTGGGTGCGTTTTTAAGATTTTATTTTTCGTGGACAGTTTGATACCAATAGTATATTTGTTGCAAAATGCTCAAGAATTAAAAAATTAGCTAAAAAGTCAATTACCTTTTAAATTAATTAATATATCATTAAAATTAATATTTAAAAGTTGTGAATTTCAGAGAAATTACACGTATAATATTTTTTTTAATTAAGTATGTAATAGGATAGAGGGTATAAGAATAAATTAAAAACTTTAAATGAAAAAAAATTTTGGCTGAGAAAAAGAAGTTTCTAGCTGCCAATTTGAAATTTCAAAGTGAGACACATTGATTGCAGCATGGCAGCCATGGCTGAAAACTTCTTATATTGTACCCCAAAATTAACTTCGATGAAATTTCCTAAGAAAATAAAATGTGGGTAAGCTTTACAATTTCAGCCCATTGAGGGGGGGAAACTTCATCACCTAATTTAATTGAAAATTTGTCATTGTGCTGACATATACGAAAATGATAGTAATCACAAAGAAAATAAAATATTGTATGCAATGTTGAAAAGTATATGACACCAATACCAGATAAAGAATTGAACAGAAGTGTCCAAAATATTAATTAAAATTTTAGAGTCACTAAACTTATATAATTCCACAATTATAATTGCAGCGTTTGATTAATTATTTTCAAGTGTCTAATTTATAATAGTATTTTCATTTTCAACCACCATTTTTGGAACTTATTGTCCAGTTTTTTTTTTTTTTTTTTTGTCGTTTATTGTCTGGTTATTTTAAATGTTACTGAAGAGATAGAAATGGGATGGTCCCAGATTAAAAAAAAAAAAAAGTAGTCCTGATTTTGTGGTAAAATGAAGGATCCAATGTTCACCTTAAATGGTTGGTGTAAGAGGGCCACCATGGCCAGGTAGCCCAATTCGTTCAACCATATGCACCAGAAATCTTTTTGAGTGCATAACTAAAAGCTGGAACAACTTTTGTGGAGATGGTCTAAAATCACCATAGTAATCGGAGAGATTTTTATAAACTTTGAGTTGAAATTTAAATATATATATATATAAAGGTTAAATTAATGACTTTTGTGACCAATCCCATTTTTTCAAAATATTTGTAACAAATATGATGTTTAAAAGATATTAACTTATTAAAAAGATAAATTAGTTGAACAAATTAACATAATTAAAGAATTATAACTTTTAATTAAGTTTTTATAATAGAGAATAATAATCATTCTAATAATTAATGAAAATATCTATTCATTCTAAAATTTTCTCTTTTTATATGAAATACACAAAGTCTCTTATATATTAGTCCTCGTAAAAAATAATGTGTAAGAAATATAATTTTTTTCGATTATTAGCAATCGTTTATAGTTTAATTTTATTTTTTTAGGTGATTTAATTTTATTAGTGCAAAAATAAAGAGGTAATACTTTTGAAAAAAAAAGAGATTGTATATATTAAATTTTAAATTTTAAATCTATTAAATATTATTTTTAAAAAGTAATTTTAGAAATTAATTAAATTAAAATTTGAATTCATTTATGAATTCATTTATTAGGTCATTGAACATTACCAATCAATTAAAATCTTTATCAATATATATTTTCGTATTATATTTTAAAATTATAGCAATAAAATTTAAATATTTTTTATCAAAATTATAAAATTAAATTAAATTCATATGAAATGAGATTTAATCATTTTTAAAATTATTAAAATTCTCACTCACGCAAAAACCAAAGGATAAAAAAAATAAATTCAATTATTTATAATATGAGATACTAGTATATTTTAACAATAAAAAAAATTAACAAAAAAAAAATTGTAGTTTTGATTTCGTAAACATTCAAAATAAAATTTTTTTAATAATTTAAAATATAATATAATGATATGACATGAATATGTTATAAATATAAAATATAAAAATAATATTATTTAAAATTTAATAATAATTATATATAAATTTAATAAAATTATAAATATATTTTATATTTTTATATCGATATAAATTATAACATATAATTTTTATATAAAATATAATATAAATATATAAATTTTAATATTTTACGAAATATAAATATACATAAATCCCTAAAAAAACAAAATTTACCGACTTCATCCTCAAGTAAAAAAAAGTAAACGTCAAGTAAAAAAGAAAAGAAAGGTCTAAGCTAAAGGGAAAAAGGGCAAAAACAAAAATAAAAATTCAAACTTGCGTGCGCGTAGAGCCATCGGTTCACTGAGGGGGAGAAAACAAGAAATCATTGCTATAAAACGACATAACGCAAACCGAAATATTTTACTTTCAAAAAACCCAACCCAAAAATATCAAAATATATAATCGAACAAAAAAAGTTAGACGCGTTTGCGTTTGCCTTTGCCTTTGCCTTTGCAAAAAAAAAGCAGGGCCACCATTTGATGCAAAACAATTCTCCATTTTTTTCCTTCATTTTTCCATGTATTTGGTTTAAACCCGTAAGTTTCGCTGCTCCTTTGGCACTGTCGTTCTTTCTTTTTTTTTTTTAATTTATTATTTTATTGTTTTGAGCACAACCCAGATTTTATTTGTGGATTTTAATGGTGTGTAAAGACACTAAGCTTGGAAATCTGAACTGGGTATTGGAGTTTTTCTTTTCTCTTTGGGTTTGTTCTTTTTTGGTTTTGTTTTTTCTTTTGATTGGTAATGTTTGAAATTTGAAAAAAATTGTGCTTTTGCTTTGTTTCATTGTTGTGTGTGTTTTAATTAATCCAACGGGAAAGTTTGTTTTTGGATAAACTCAGGTTGACATTGCATCGAAAAAGATTAAACTTTGTTGGTATTTGGACATCACTTTTTCCCTGTCTTATCTTCTGGTTGCTTTATTAGAAGCCATAAAAAAATTGAGGATTTTGGTTTTTTTTTGGTGGGTAAAATCCAAGTAATAAGGGTGGATTTGATTGTAATTTGATAGGAGGTTTTGTTCTTTATGTTGTTCTTGTCCCATATTTTGGTTGTTTTTTATGGTAATTTTGCATAAAATATAAAGATTTTTCTTTTCTTCATCGTTCAGTTTTACAGTTGATTGAAATTGACAGTATTTTCATTAAAATTCTAAATGTTTCTTGCTTTCTTAGGTGACCATGTTATTAGGAAAGGTAGTTTTTAGCAAATCTGGATTCTATTTTATTGGTGATCCTTCCTTTTGCTTGCTTAAAGATGTAGCAAATTATGTTATAAGAGTGTTCGGCATAGGAAATAAACTTGAAAGCATGTCTGTTTGTGTTGTTCATGACAATCTGCATTCTTTGATTGATGGAAGAATGACCACTTTTACCATGCTTTTGCGTTCTTCTTGTTTTTCTGCTTGGTAAACATGTCCAACATGGAAACAGTTAATCTTATTTTTGTAGAATATACTTCCCCATGTCCGAATTTCGTATCTTTCTCTTGGAAAGACTGAAAACCATTATTCCGTATTAGGATGTTGCTTTTTAAAGTGCTCAGTACTGTTTCATAGATTCTTGTTGTTTATTTATTAGTTTCACTGACCACAAACACAAACTGTACGGAAAAAGTTTTGTGTTTAGACATTTTTTTCATCTTTTGGAAATTTGAAGAACAAGGGAGAAGAAGGAAGAAGGCTTCTTACATGAATATTGAGATGTTCCTAGTGAAACTTTTATATACAATCATTGCCATGGACCTTTTGGACTTTAATAACATTATAATTTTTATCTTTAGTTTGCTGTAGCTAGATTTTTCTTTAAAAAGGCCGAGTACATTTGAAAATGCTACCTCAGAATTATTTGGTTTTTATTGCAGTATGATGAATAATTTTAGCAAATTGAGACTTTTCATGAAGTTTAACTGCTTAAATGAGAATCTGGTTCTAATCTTGTTAGATCTATACCAAAGAGCTGCTCTAGGCTGCCATAGTTCCCCTAACCCACCAAAATTTAATGTTGTGGATGAGAACAAGTTTGTTCAGTTTCCTTCAAATAGTTCACATATTATGCCCTGCTTGTCTTATATTCTCCTGGATGTTCAACTGCATGTGATTGGGTAATTTGCTTTCATCATGTTTTATTTAAAATATCTTTCTGTCTGATGGCATCTATTTTTAGCCTGTGTTACAGGGAAATAGAGAGAAGCCTCTCAAAAGTAGATAAATATAAAATAATTAAAGTAGTTTACTAGAGATATTGCCACATTTGGGGTAGCAATGGTTCCTGGAGGCAGTGCTTGCAAAGAAGTTGTTGAATCTCATTCCCCTGTTTCAGATTATGACATTCCTACAACAAAATCTGATAGTAATACTACAACGATGAAAAGTGCTGTTAGTTTTGTTGGAAAACATGGAATTCATTCAAACAATGGTGTTTATGAGCTCCTTGAGTGTCCTGTATGCACAAATTTGATGTATCCACCAATTCATCAGGTTTGTTCTCATGTGTACACTTACCCTGGCTCTTCGATAAATATATATTTTTGTAGTAGTATTTTGTTTTTTTACCCTTTTTTCATTGTTTTTCATATTACTGAATATTCTAAATTACTTCATTGTGAATGCTACATTTGTGCCTTCACATGCTTGTATGGAACTAAGTGATGATATCTGTATGCTTGGGTGAAAATTGTTATGAAGAACTGGTTATGATACCTTATCTAGTTAGGTGTTTGGTTATGTACCTTGTGAAGTGTAGGGAATCAGTTGCAAGGCACAGAAGGGTTATGGACATAGTGTTATAGGGAAAAAGGGTTATAGATATCTATCAAAGAGGATAGCTTATCATCTTGAAGCTTGGTTGCTGCAGTGGAGAGTTATTTTCATGAGGGTAGATGGAAAAGTAATCATTGTACTTGGAAAGCAATTTGAAAGGATTTGGCAATTTTTGTCAAGACATAGTCTCTTTTGATGTTTAGTATAATATGGTTACTGCTTCCTTTACTAATTAAGTTCTATGGGATTTGGATGTGGTATAGAAAAATTGTTCTCAGCCTCTTCCTTTTTTTCTATAAAATTACTCCGTTACTAAAATTTTTATATCTTGCATTCAATCTTCTATTACAGTGCCCAAATGGACACACTTTGTGTTCTAACTGCAAGATTAGAGTGCACAACTGTTGCCCAACATGTCGCTATGAGCTTGGAAATATAAGGTGTTTAGCTTTGGAGAAAGTTGCAGAATCCTTGGAACTCCCTTGTAAATACCAGAATCTAGGTTGCCATGATATCTTCCCCTATTACAGCAAGCTCAAGCATGAGCAACACTGTCGGTTTCGTCCCTACAATTGCCCTTATGCTGGGTCTGAGTGCTCAGTCACAGGTGACATCCCTGCCCTTGTTGCACATCTCAAGGATGATCATAAGGTTGACATGCATGATGGATGTACCTTCAACCATCGATATGTCAAATCAAATCCACACGAAGTTGAAAATGCCACTTGGATGCTTACTGTAAGTTTGTTTATGCTGCAGCACATGACAATCAAGTGTTCTATGCTTCTCTGATAATAGTTATTAGTGAATTTGATAAACATTGTGGTTGTAAATTTTGCTCCTAGTTATTTCTTTTCTAGTTGTCAAAAGAAATTGAAAAACCAAGGAGATTATGTGGTTTCTGTTAAGACTGTTAAAGTTATAATTAGTGCGTTTAAAACTGCAAATTTATGCTTCTGAAAGCATTCCTATGGCAAGTTCGTTTTTGACCTCCGACATCCTGTGCAGGTGTTCAATTGTTTTGGAAGACAGTTCTGCTTGCATTTTGAGGCTTTCCAGCTTGGGATGGCACCTGTCTATATGGCCTTTTTACGTTTTATGGGCGATGATAATGAAGCAAAAAAGTTTAGTTATAGTTTGGAAGTTGGCGCCAATGGCCGTAAGCTAATATGGCAGGGGATTCCCAGGAGCATCCGGGACAGCCATAGGAAAGTGCGTGACAGTCTGGATGGACTTGTTATCCAAAGGAATCTAGCTCTATACTTTTCTGGTGGCGATAGGCAGGAGCTGAAGTTGAGGGTAACTGGCCGCATATGGAAAGAAGAATGAGATAGGAAACCATGGAGATTTGTAAGTGGTTTTGTACAGTTTCAGAAAATTCCGAGTCTTCTTGGAAAACAGATGGAGCTTTCGTTTTTCTGATTGGGGCTTTCTTTTGTATTTACATGGTGTATTTTTACTGGGATATGTCCACTACAGTCTAATCCCCCCGCTGACGGACGCCTTGTGCTGAATGTTTAGTGTAGGAAATGATGATTTATATGAGTCAACTTGATTGCTCAAAGTTTAATGCAGCAACATGTATGGAATGTTCCTTTTGAATCCTTACCCTCTTTGTGGCATCTTTTGGCTGCGATTGCCATTGGCTTCCTGTATTAAACCATGTCATTGTTATCAAGTTATATTTTTACTCATTTACCCTTTTCTTTTTTTTTTCCCTTTTCCTCTATTTTTCGTCCAAGATGTAGCTTAATAATTATCCTGAAAATTTTATGAGAAAACAACAAGACCTTCTAAATTTCTTCGAAATCAAATTATAATATAGCTTGTTGACTTTTATTTTATTAACAGATTATGTAACTGTTGACGAGTGAATAAGAAATTTGGATGCAAAGTAAAACGTACTTTAATAATGTCAAAGTATTATAGTTCGATACCATGGATTAAATTTTTTAAAAAATCTAAATTATTAGTAGGAATAACATTACTCTATTAACAAGAATGTCAAATCTTCTAAAACTTTGCCAAACTTTGAAAGAGTGGAGAAGACGTGCTGATCATGTTTCTCCAGTTTTGAATATCAAACCACTTATTTAATATTCTAAAACCTTTCGTTAATCATTAAAATGAAAGAATAACCCCCCTCTCTCAATCATTAACAAGTCATATTCCAACCAAGAAGCCTTGGACAGTTAACATGGAAAGATTGAAATTTTGGAAGGTGCTTGCCATGCATGGTTCCATGTCTCCATCCATGTCGTTGCCAATTACCAGTAAACATGGACAGTCCATATTAAACTGATATCATATCCAACAAAATCAAAATGTAAGATCATGCACCCCACGATGTTGATCATGCAAAATTGCAAATCTTAGACCGTTAGATTATCATAAGAAACGACAAAGAATACATTAATAGAAAATGGAAAATATAGGTTTGGTTTAGAGACGTGCAAACGTGAATGCACGTAGAAGTAGGTTGGTTTTAAGATTAACGGCTAAAGTATGAGAGACCCGAGTTTGTCGCAAAACAGGAGAAACATGTGTGTCTGTTCCAATACAGAGCCATTACAGAGCAAGGGGGAATAAACAGAAAAAGAAGAAGAAATAAAAAAATTAAGTGGAAACAACCTAACAACAATTCTTTCACTTTTTTTTGTTTCCTATAAAGATTTTGTTTCTGTTTCTGCAATTGTCTCTGTCATCAACCTTTCCCTCCTCCCTCTCTCTCTCTCTCTCTCAATCCAGCCTTTCTTATTTTTCATACCTTCTTGGGGTTGATCAGATCGCAGGCTTTCAAGTATGATTCTAATCCTTCAACGCTGTCTTTTTTGGTTTTTCGTTTGAGATATTAGCTCATTTCATTTTGCTATGAAATCAACATGTATGCATTGACAATTGATTATGATTAGTACTTGTATTTAGTTGTCGCTGCTATGTAATCTGATCACATTTTCTTTCAAGATCAATAATTTTGATAAAATCCCAGGTCGCTTTTAAAGTCCTAGTAGTTTTTTTTACTACATTTTAGGAAAATTCTAAGGGGATGGTGATTGAAGCCTGGACATCATCCTTTGACTCCAAAAGATTGATGATAAACAACCAAATCGCTAGGCTAACGAAGCTTGGATTGTTCCTTGAATCATGATATAATACCGTTTCATTTTTTGACCATGCAGGAAAAGATTTGATTTTCCATTGAATTGATAGGAGATTCATTTTCACTGCATGAAAAATTTGAGATTTTAACATCCTAAGCTATGTTCTGCTGCGGAGGTGAGGAGGATGAACCCAACGGTCCACCTGCAAACCAATATACAGCCCCACCTAGAGGAGGAAATCAATACAGTGGTGCTGGTATATCTTTAACTTTTGAGCTTTGTCTGTTATATCTTTCCTTCTTATGCCTCGAGTCATGGCATAGATTTTCTTAATCCTTAAAATGCAATGTTTACTTATGTTTTTAACAGGCAGTGGAAGAGGAGAGCCAAGGACTTCCAATGTTGTTAGAAGTGGGGCTCCTCAAAAAGTTCTACCTATTGATGTTCCAGCTATTCCATTAGATGAGTTAAATAGGATGACTGGTAACTTCGGTACAAAGGCATTGATCGGAGAAGGTTCTTATGGCCGAGTTTTTTATGGAAAGTTAAGTAATGGTCAGCCTGCAGCAATAAAGAAGCTGGATACTGGTTCTTCACCAGAACCAGATTCTGATGACTTTGGAGCACAGGTGAGATATAGAGAACCCGTTTCTTTTCCCCATTAAAGTGATCTGTCTACAATTTTAAGTTGTATTCCATCTTACTGCTGCAATGGTTTTGCAGTTATCAATAGTTTCAAGACTTAAACACGAACAATTTGTGGAGTTGATGGGGTATTGTTTGGAGGCAAATAACAGAATCTTGGTGTATGAACACGCGACAATGGGCTCTTTACATGATGTATTACATGGTATGCTTAGTTTCATCGTTCATCTTTGAGCTTTCCCTTTGTTTGCATTTTGGAATTTTTATTCATTTTCAGTATATAAATTTAAATCAGGGAGGAAAGGTGTACAAGGAGCTGAACCAGGTCCAGTTCTCAGCTGGAACCAAAGAGCAAAAATTGCTCATGGTGCAGCAAAAGGTCTTGAATATTTGCATGAGAAAGTTCAGCCTTCGATAGTTCATCGTGATGTCAGATCAAGCAATGTCCTTCTTTTTGATGACTTCAAGGCCAAAATTGCGGATTTCAACTTGACAAATCAATCTTCTGACACCGCAGCTCGACTGCATTCGACTAGAGTGTTGGGTACCTTTGGGTACCATGCCCCAGAGTAAGTCTTCTAATCCAGCATTTTAATTCGTTTATGACTATTAACTGCCAAAGAAGCCTATTATGGATCTGAACCTATAAATTGATTTGAGTTATAAGTGTTGGATACCTGCATATGATTGAAATGCACCAAGACATTAGAGATTTCCAATGTTCCAAAAATAAGATATAATTAGCTTCAAGAACCATGACATCAGAGATTTTCCGTATCTGCAGAAGTTGCTATTATTACCTTAAAACACTGAAACTAGTGGTATCATAAATCAAACCCTATCTAGTGTCTGATTCATGATATTACTGCAAGCTATGAAATCTTTTGCTTCAACATTCTTTTTGTTAACAGACTTGAACAGATTTTCTGTTTTTGTTGTCTTGTTGTTTTCCCATGATTCATTTAAACTTTCTTTCTGCCTAGGTATGCTATGACGGGGCAGATCACCCAGAAAAGTGATGTATACAGTTTTGGAGTTGTTCTTCTTGAGCTCTTGACAGGGAGAAAACCAGTAGACCATACAATGCCCAAAGGACAACAGAGTCTTGTTACTTGGGTGTGTTTCTTTCCCTATTCGTATCTGCTGCCATTTAGCATGTGTCTCTAACTCAGTTTCAACAATGCAGGCAACTCCAAGATTGAGTGAAGACAAGGTTAAGCAATGTGTGGATCCCAAGCTAAACAATGACTACCCACCGAAGGCAATTGCCAAGGTTGTCTCTTCTGCTACATTATCTTCATTATGACTTCCAGGTTTTTCATACTGCAGGTTGAAATTATTTTCCTTTTAAATTCGACTTACATCCCATGTTTTGTATTATTTATTTGGGTATCTCAGCTAGCAGCAGTTGCAGCACTTTGTGTCCAGTATGAGGCAGACTTCCGGCCAAACATGACTATTGTTGTCAAAGCTCTTCAGCCACTTCTTAATGCAAAACCAGCAGGATCAGACTCTCAACCATAATATATATAGCTGACCTAAAAACCAGTAGTGAGGCATGTGTAGTTGTAACATTTTCTTCATGTTTTGTAATCTCATCACTTTTCGAATTCGATTTTACGATCAAATATATTCCCTGGAAGGGTTTAGTGTTTACTCAAGACTTGAAGATTCAGTGTTATCATTGTTAAATAGATTGTAATATAAATTCTTTGTCAGAATCGAATAACACAACATTGCATTTCAATCTGCAATATGGTGAAATATGCTTGGTTTTGTTGTTAGTCCTTCTGTGGAACGAGTGCAACGAAACTTATGAACATGAATGAATGAAGCTGGATGAGATAAATAAACCTTATTTATATTCACTTATAATCATTTCTGTTCTTCTATCGAGTAAAGTCATATGATAAAGAATCTTCCAGGAAGTTTTTCTTCACCAGGTAACCTTCATGATTTCAATTCATGAATCAGCAATGATTCTACTTGAAATACGTGGAAGATTCAAACTATTGAACAATGTTGAACGTCCACTTACTTTGAAATTGAATGCCCAACATCTCTTGGTGGATCATTGTCAAGCCCAACTTGCAAGTTTTGAACTGAGAAACCCAAATCAACAATGGTACGTATGGTCTCATTTATCAACAAAATGACAACATCCATGCCTTAATCTAAACTAGAGAGAACAAAAAAATGACAACAGTCTCAACAAACAAACAACATGTGCATGAGAAATTTTTTTAGTTTCTTTGTTAGTTCATCTCTCTCCCATGTTGATTCTTTATCCATGTATTGAGATTTAACTTTTAAAACATGAATTATTTATTTATCATTAAATCAAATGTTGATGAATGATTATTTAATCTCTTTAATCTAAAAACATATTGATAAAAGAAAAATATTAGAAAATAATAAAAGTAAAATGTTTTGTAAAAAATACTCAATGAGTGAATAGTTATTTTAATTGTTTCATTTAAAAAATATAAATATAAATATAAATATAAATATTTTATTTTATTTTATTATCATTTTTATATATTTTTTAATTAAGTTAATGTTATTTGATCAGTAATATCGAAATTTTTTGCCAATATAATATCAAATTCAATCATACTCATTATAAATAGTATAAATATTAAATTGTGTATCATTAAAAAATAATATCTAAAATTGTGGAAAAAAATAGGATGCCCTTAATAGCATGAAAGCTAATTTGAAACCAAAATCAACACCGTTGATATGGTTGATAGTCACATCCTCTTTTTTTTTTTATTATTGAGGGAAAAAAAAAGAACAAACTTTTGAGATCCCTGGCTTGCAAAATCTTCAAAATTCCTATTATTTAACCGACAATAATAGATAAATAAATTAATAATAAAATTAAAAAAAAGTGACGGGGGTCCATTGTATTCGTACGTTAGCGGAAATCCATCCCATCTGACAAGGACATACGTGGCAGTTATTTATTGGGCTTTTACAGGTGGAATTTGACTATGTATTATGTGATTAAATTTTTTTTTCTTGATTTCTGCCCAAACATGACCCCAACGGTTCGTGCACGTTAGTGTATTTCAACCTGTCGAGCTGAGGACGTTCAATAAAATTTTTACATGTGTGATAAATAAAAATGGACAATTCTTTTTGAAATTATAAAAATAAAAAATTTATGTCGTCATTATTTCACATTTCATCATGTTTATATATAGTAATAATTTTGTTTATATCCTTCGACGTTATAAATGATAAGCTAAATTTTATATATATACTAAATATTATAATTATTTATTATATTTTTTTATGTCCAAGTGGAATTTAATTTTATATTTTTTAAATGAAAACGAGCAAATTGTGTAAATTTATTATTTTTTTATAAAAAATCATAATATAAAATTTAAAATTTATACTTGTTAAATATCATTTATAATTATATAAAATAATTAAGTTGAGTTTCGAATTTAATATAATATGAGTTTTTTTTTTTTTTTTCATATTCTAACCTAGCAAAATAAATATAAGTAAAATCTAATTCACAAAATGTAACCCTTTTTTACCATCTAATTAATTGAAATAAATTAATTAAAATTCTAAAATAAGTCAAAACTTATTTCCATTCCATTGTATAATTAATTATTCACCTAAAAACAACAAATATATTACTAATTGATTTTATTTGAAAAACGACTTTCTGCTTATCTCTACACCTTTTTTTTTTTTGTATTTTTAAACTAATATTAAAATACCGTATATTTTCCGGCCAAAAAAAAAACCCACATTTAAAAAAACTTCTCACAAACAATAAAAACATATTATTATTATTATTATTATTTACCTGAGATAGTTAAAAATTGTAAAGTAACAGTCTGTTTCCATTTTAACCGTCCTTTCCTTTTTCCCAATGGCCAAACAAAGCAGCCTCAAATTCTTTCTCACTGATTTTCTCTTACAAATATTTATAGATATAAATAAAGAAATGCAGCAACAAATCTGATCATCGTCATCAACCTCCCAAAACCATCCCTTTCAATTTTGTTCCCTTCTCGCTTCGATCTCTTTCTCAAATTCAATACGATTTGGATCCCCGAAGGAAAAAAACCCCAATCATCATTTTCAGGATCTTTGAATTTTTTTTGTTTTGTCTTTTTTTTTTGTCAAATCCGGTTCAATTTTATTGAATCGGTTTTTTTTTTTGATCGGTAAAACAAAACGGAATTGAGGGGTGGGGGATGGAAAGATTGGTAAATAATTGTAAATCAAAGAGAGTTTGAGAAATCAAAGGATGCCAGGATTAGCGCAAAGAAATGAGCAATATAGTAATGCCTCAATTGGGTTTTGGTCTAAGCATAGCGATGATGTTAGCTACAATCAACTCCAGAAGGTATTTGATTTTCGTTTTCTTCACTTTATCATTAATTTTTCTGGTTGAAATTTTTGGTGATATAATTGTTTTTATTGAATTAGGATTGGATTGGATCAGTGTTTTGGATTGGGTTTTTTGTTTAGTTTAATGGGTACTTTGAGTTTGGATTGGATCTTAATTTATTTTGTTTTAATTTTTTTAATTGTTTACCAGATCCAGTTAGAGAGTTATAATTTTGATCATGTGCCAATTTTGGTTCTAGTATTGATTTGTTGTTTAATGACATCTGCCTTTCGCTTAGAGACGTTACACATTGGTTGCCAAATTTTGTTTAGAGCCAAGGCACTGATATTTTAGTGCTATTCCTGGCTTTGAATTGAGTAAAGAAATAAAAGTTAGAAGTTTGATAATTAACTTCGTCACTGTCAGTTCTTAAAGAATTTCTTTACTCATTGTTGAGTTCAATGTGGCATTCTGTCGAGGTCTATGGTCTTTTTATTTTTTGGCTATAAAAAGTGTTGGAGGTGATTGAGGAATTGGGAATTCAAGGAATGATGCTTGTTTGCAATTAGCTAATGAGGATAGCTGTATCCAATGGAGCACCCAAGTGGTTAGAATGTGAAACTCCAATCTTGAGATTGTAGGTTCAATTCCTTCGGATGAGAGGAGGCAGGGTCTATGGTAGAGGTGAGAGCTACCTAACCATTGTGTAGCCCAAGACCTAGTGGGTCTCCACACCCTGTTCTTCACTCTCCATATGTACCAAAAAAGAGGGATAGTGTTGATTGTGCAATTTAATAATGGATATGTTTTATAAATACATGGTTTATTGATTTTATTTCTGATTAGTTGCTAAGAAAGAGCTGTGTTTTTGTATTGCAGTTCTGGAGTGAGCTTTCATTCCAAGCTCGGCAGGATCTTCTTAGAATTGATAAACAAACCCTCTTTGAGCAAGCTCGCAAGAACATGTATTGCTCCAGATGTAATGGGCTACTGCTTGAAGGTTTTTTGCAGATTGTCATGTATGGAAAATCCTTGCAGCAGGAAATGGTAGCTGGTAGCCTTCATTACAACAGGTTAGGAGTTTCAAAAAACCAGAGTGATGGTGGATTGAGTATGATGAATGGGTCACAAGATGAAATTCAAGATCCATCTGTCCACCCTTGGGGAGGTTTGACCACTACTCGTGATGGGTCACTGACACTTCTTGACTGCTATATGTGCTCGAAGTCACTCAAGGGTTTCCAAGATGTACGTGCTGATCAAATTGTTTTCTCTGATTATGTTTTCCCTTTTCATCTAGTTGTTGATGTTTCAATTGAATCAGGTGTTTGACAGTGCACGTGCAAGGGAGCGTGAGCGTGAATTGCTTTATCCTGATGCTTGTGGTGGGGGAGGTCGGGGTTGGATAAGCCATGGAATTGCCGGTTATGGAAGAGGACATGGAACTAGAGAAACTTGTGCTTTGCACACTGCCAGGCTTTCTTGTGACACGTTGGTGGATTTCTGGTCAGCTCTTGGAGAAGAAACTCGGCAGTCTCTTCTAAGAATGAAAGAAGAGGATTTCATTGAGAGGCTTATGTACAGGTGTGTTTGTAGCTCCTTCTTTATGGATGAATGTGTTTCATTTGCTATATTGGTCAGCTGGTGAACAATGTGAAGTTTGATGTTCATTGATCAAGCAGCTTCCATTGGAGCTAGAAATATAAGAATAGTGGTGGGAGTTTCAGGACATGAAGAGGACAATAGTTTTATTTGATGGTATTAAAGACGTAAAAGTTTCATAATTTCATTTGTGTGCTTTTGAAAGCTTCAGGGATTCTGTGTTCATATCCTAGCTGACAGCTGACTAGCCCTGTGAAGTAAGGTTTTTTGGAGCATCTGATTTCCTAGCTATGAGAGTGTAAGTCTTTTAAATGGAAAATTATTGTAATAAAACTTATGATGGCCCATGGAACGAGGAAATGAAACTCCATGCTGCAGACTGGAAAAAAGATATTTCCCGAAATTAGCAGGATTGATAAGCGTTATTTTAATGCACAATTCACAATTTGAGATAATTGAAAAATGTTAATGTGCAAGGTACTGAGTTTTTCTTTTTGTTGGTCGACTTAACTATGACATAAGCATTATTAAAGCAGTCTCTTATTCATCTTTCAATGAGTTTGTTCTTTCAAACAGGAGTGTAACTATAGATCCTTGTCGTGAACATATTTTGGTCATTTTTAAGAATCCTTCTTCAATCTCCGGAGTTTAGCAATTGGAAGATATGGTGACTAGTACTCCTGGATACATGTTTTGACCTGTAGCAGTTGGGAGTTATCCTTTTTTTCTGGCTTTAAGCATGATATGAAACCATTAAGACCAGAGAGCCAAAGCTTTAAGAAGCATCCATTCCTAGCAGCTTTGAAGGCATAAATTAGTAAGAAACCTGCAATACCTGAGTGCTGCTTCCTTTAGAGGATAGTCAACCCTAAAAAATGACCTCTATAAGTGGTCTTTTATTGAGAAACTAAGTGGCGGATGATGCGGATGACTGATGTTAGACTAAATTTTTCTATATTGAAGGAGATTAAAGGAAAAGTTAAGATTCTTTTATAGAACGAAAACTATATGATCTTAGAACCTGGACTTATAAACGGTTAATGAGTAGTCTGTCTCTGTCCCTCTCTTAAAATTGTTTTGTTCCCTCCTCTGAATAGTCAACTTTAGGGCCTTAGGCTTTCCAGTTCTGTTATCAAAGGAAAAGCAAGAGAAAATATTTGATGAAATTGATGTTACTCACCCTGCTATCACCCATATTTTTAAGGTATCCTAAATATGTGTGCATCCTAAATATGTGTGCTTTGTCTCAAAGGTCCTCTTTCTAAGTGACTCTTACTGAAGGTGAACTGGAAGGGTGAGTTGGAATCTGAAGTCCCTGAAATACTGGGTGGTGAAGGTTGCATACAACTGTCTGCATCCGTTTTTCTCCAAAAAAGGCCTCTAGATTTATTGCTTTTCTTTTCTTAATCATGTGGACTTTCTTTAACAGTTTGCTTTCTCTATGTGATTTCTGTCATGCTTATCATCCTTATTGTTACTTTTTCAATTCTTAAATATTCGTTGTTATGATGGATTTGAATGTTGAAACGAAATTTGTCACTAAGAACAAGATGAAGATGTTGAAAAGGTGTCTTTGTTGAGAAGTACATATGAATTGAGGCTGTCGAAATGGTTGGATGGCTGGATATGCTTAGAGGGTATTGAGAGAGTAAAATTTGTATCCCCTTTAGTAGGAAAAAATGAACATGAGACAATTTCTTTTGAGTAATGAAAATGAGACATTTATTAGACTAGAATGGCTGAAAGGGATTTGCATCTGCTTTTGCCTCTTCTGCTCATTACCTCGGTGATAAGTTGAAGGGATGGTAAAATTATCATACATCCAGGGCTGCCTGCATTTTAGTCTCTCAGAATATGACAATTGGGTTCCCTACGGGTGATTATCCTGCAAACTTGATGGTGTAGTCTTATTCATTATTTTTCCTCCCAGAAAGCTTTGTGCTAAAATTGATGTTACTTTTATGTTGCAAAAATCTCTGTTTTTGTACTTCCTGGAGTTTCATATAGAAGTATTAGGCCTAGGCTAAAACTGTACTCAGTTGTTAGCCATTTATGATTTGTGGTGTTTACAACTTGCTTGTAGACTTCTGTTCTCTATTGTTTTGTATGGATTTCATATCTCTCATTTGCATCTTTGTCTCAGGTTTGACAGCAAAAGATTTTGCAGAGATTGCAGAAGAAACGTTATCCGTGAATTCAAGGAGCTGAAGGAGCTCAAACGCATGCGTAGAGAAACACGATGCACTAGTTGGTTTTGTGTTGCAGATACAGCCTTTCTATATGAGGTGCTTCATCCATATCATTAACCTTTTAGTGCACTGACTTTTGTTACGATACCATCATATATTCATCTTTTGATCTAATTGTTCATAAAAATTTTATGGCTGAGATTTCATTTCTGACTACTTTAGCCATAATTTATTGAGCTTGTTGTGAGAATTTCCGGAATATATGTGACTTACACAACATTTTTCTTTACTACTCGCCCAGGTATCTGATGGTGCAGTGCAGGCTGATTGGCGCCAAACTTTTGCTGACACTATTGGAACTTACCACCACTTTGAATGGGCAGTTGGAACTGGGGAAGGAAAATCAGATATTATGGAATTTGAAAATGTTGGCATCAATGGGAGTGCTCAAGTCAATGGCTTGGATCTTGATGGCTTGAGTTCATGTTATATCACCCTGAGGCCCTGGAAATTGGATGGCCGCTGCTCTGAGCTTTCTGTAAAAGCCCATGCATTAAAGGGCCAACAATGTGTGCATTGCAGACTTGTAGTTGGGGATGGTTATGTTACAATCACAAGGGGTGAAAGTATTAGAAGGTTTTTTGAGCATGCTGAAGATGCCGAGGAAGAAGAGGTAGTTCAAACTTTGTTAGTCTTATCCAAGAAGTTGTTTGGATGATAGTGATGTTGAACTTTTAACTCATCTTTTCAGGATGATGATTCCATGGACAAGGATGGAAATGAGCTTGATGGAGAATGCTCTCGTCCCCAAAAGCATGCAAAGAGTCCTGAACTTGCTCGAGAGTTTCTTCTTGATGCGGCGACTGTTATTTTCAAGGAACAGGCATGTTCAAATCTTCACCTTTCTTGTGCTTTAAAGTCTTGCAACATGCCTGCCATTCTTGTTAATTATTTACATAAAAAATATCATCTGTGGGTTTCTATCATTTTCATTTGATAATTAGAACCTCTCTCTGTATGTAGAAGAATATGATCAGTAGGAAGGTAACAAAAATCAGGTCTATATTAATGACTTGATGTGTTAGTTAGTGGCAAGCAAGTTATTAACCAGAATTTCAGTCCATTGTTTTTGACAGAATCTGTGTTTAAAATGGTTTTTGTTGTTGAATTTTGTGCTTTAGAGAAGCAGGACTAATGATAAATGAAATATTGTCTTAGGTGAAACTTCGAGAAGGATAGAGTGTGTGCTTTAAGCTTGATGACCTGGAAACACTTATATGAGTGATACATAAATTTGGGAAGATTGTGATTACTTTGAGAAAGATTAGCAATGTTCATGATACTATAGCAACTTGGCAGGAGAGAGGAAATGCAATTAGTTTGTTTTGTAAGTAATGATATGATTTATATATTGAGTCAATTATTAGGCCAACCTTGCCAACTTGCTCCATCCTGTTAAGTTTGTTGGGAGACAAATGCTGATCTGCCATCTTGTTAGTTTTGGACTTGTCAAACAAATCCCATGCAGGTGCTCAACCTTATTCTCCTTTGCTCAAATTCATGTCAATATAGAGGTAGTAGCACATTTTGTACTGGCTAAAATGAAGATGTTTTCATGAGTAGTCTAAAATGATTCTTATTTCTAAGAAATAGTAGGCAGTGGTACTCAATCTAAAGGAGTGAAAGTACAATAGAGCTTTTGATCATAGGGAAGAACACCAGTGATTGCTTGGTGGGGAAGAGTGAGTTGATCCAAGTATCAGAGTGAAATGCTGCGAGAAAGGATGCGGAACCTATAATTTAAGTGATGTCATCTGCAATCAAGGCTAAACGTTCAAACTTAAGGCCAAGTATTTTGGTCCTTAATTCTGATATGGGTGATTGGCATTATATCTGTCAAAATTCAAACAAATGGTTTGCTTATATACGTAGTTAACAATTTAAAAGATATTAACTAATAGAATCACAATAGCTAACAATGAGTTTGGTTTTTTTTTAATGAGAAGAGTTACAAAGAGTTTGAATACTTCTAAAACTTGGTAAGAATAAACTTGGACTTTGTTTAGTGGTTCTTGTGGGTTGTGATGGAGTTGTGACACAGCAAACATACAGGTCAATCTGTTTCCATTGTTTGTGTTCTCATCAATGCTAAAATTCTTTTTACAAACTTAAAACAATTTATCCATTTTGATATTCAGGTTGAAAAGGCTTTTAGGGAAGGAACAGCACGCCAGAATGCACACAGTATCTTTGTTTGTCTTGCACTAAAGCTGCTGGAAGAACGTGTTCATGTTGCATTCAAGGAAATTATTACGTTAGAAAAGCAGGTTTGAATAATTGATGATACTTCAGGATAGATTTTCCTTTATGCTTATCTGTAAATATAGGTGGCTATTCTCATTTTTTGATAAATATTACAGACACAGTGACACTACATGATTTCTGCAGATGAAGCTTCTTGAAGAAGAAGAAAAGGAAAAGCGTGAAGAAGAAGAACGCAAGGAGAGGAAAAGAACAAAAGAACGAGAGAAAAAGCTCAGGAGAAAGGAGAGATTGAAAGGAAAAGAAAGAGAGAAAGAAAAAAATTGTTCTGAAAGTATTACTCCTGTTGCTCCTGTTGTCTCAAAGGAAGAATCTTCACTAACTATTGAGGTTGAAGAACATACTTCTATTAATTGCAGAGATTCTGTTAGTGACTCAGGTGATATTATTGTGTCTAGACCTGGCTCTCCAGATGCTCAAGGAGAACAGTTTTTAGATGCGCATTCCACTTCTAGATTGCAAGATCACTCTTTTGATGGTCCTGATGGAGAAGGTACAAAGGTAAAAGATGGAAATGTATCTTTTACAATGGAGCAATCAATTTCTCGTCGGAGATTGAAATTTTGCAAGGTTGGTCAATTTGATCCATCCATGAAATGGTGTGATCGACGGTTTGCTGTTGTTTCAGAAAGTGTTCCTGTCAATAGATCTGAGCCAAGATCTCAAAGTGAATACTCTGAGGCTCCTTCCAGGGGCATCAATGGATTAAATAGGCCATTAAGGATAAGCAGTGCAAAGTCCAATGGTTGGAATTGTGGTGTTAAGTATAATGAGAAGTTTCAGTGTTCCAATAGCCGGAGTGACAGATATGACTTCTACTCTTGCAGCTGTGGCCAACACAACGAATACAGAGCCAAGATTGAGCCGCATGTTTCTGCAACTAGAGTAGGTCGACATCTGCTCGCAGAATCTGCATTGGATATGTCCAAGCAAGTCTATCGTGGTAACAAGTATAATCGACAAGATTACATGCGTGAAGATTGTGGAAGATTGAGAAATAAAATTATTGCAGGAAACAATCCTTCTGCTCGAGATTCATTTCACTCCAAGAAAGTTTGGGAGCCCACAGAAGCCCAAAAAAAGTACCCCCGGAGCAATTCTGATACAAATATTACTTTGAGGTCATCAACTTACAATGAAGGGGCCGGATCTAGTGATAACTTTGTTAAGTCATCTGATGAGGCATGCTCAAGGGAAGTTAGTGTAAATTTGGGTGAAATTGATCTTGAGCATAGCAACGTTAACAAACTAAAAAACTCCAGCCTTGCAACAAATGAGGACTGTCATGTGGAAACTCAGGATAAATGCTCTTTGCTAAATGCTGCATATGAGGAAGTTGGACTTTGTCCTAATAAAAATCATAACTTGAATGGAATTTCTCATTCTATGATGAGTAGCACTTCTAATTCTGACAACTGCTCTTCATGCCTTAGTGAAGGAGATAGCAATACCTTATCCTCAAATCATGGGAATTTGGAATCTTCATCAACATCAGATTCTGAAGATGGCAGTCAACAATTAGATGGGAGAGATACTTCAGTCTGCATTCAAAATGGCTTCTCTGAGTGTCAGGTGAAAGTAATGGATAAAATACAGGATGTCAATGGAGGGGTTGATCTGGAAAGCCAGGCATTGTTTGGACATTCACCAGCTGATAAAGGAAACAAAGCTCCAGGAAATCCACTGACAAAAACTGCTGAAAATTCTGATAATGGAAAACCAACTGCTGTTATGGGTTCTCAACATCAAGGCATGTTTACATCAGTGCATAACCAACATATACAATTTCCAGTGTATCAAGCTCCTTCAACCATGGGTTACTACCATCAGAATCCTGTTTCTTGGACAGCAACTCCAACTAATGGATTAATGCATTTCCCTCCTCCAAACCCTTATTATCTTTATACTGGCCCTCTTGGCTACGGTTTAAATGGGAACTCACCATTATGCATGCCATATGGCACGCTGCAGCATTTAGGCACCCCCATGTTTAATCCTGGTCCCGTTCCAGTTTATCAACCAGTTTCAAAGACCAATGGCTTGTATGCAGAGGAGCGATCTCAGATTCCCAAGACTGGTACAACAAAAGAAGCTTTCACTGAAGTTAACGCAGAGATGGTTGTTCCCGGCAGGCTGGATGCATCAGAACAAGGAGCAAATGAAGAAGGTAGGCCAAATGATGTCTCTGCCAAATCACACATGGATGACACTAGCTTTTCCTTGTTCCATTTTGGTGGGCCTGTGGCTCTTTCAACAGGTTGCAAATCTAATCCTGTCCCTTTGAAAGATGAGATTGTGGGAGAACTTTCTTCTCAATTTTCAGCAGATCATGTCGAAAACGGTCATGCTTGCAATAAAAAAGAGACTACCATTGAAGAGTACAACTTGTTTGCAGTGAGCAACGGCATAAGGTTTTCATTCTTCTAAAATAGTAGTTGGGTATGGGTGACTGTTTGGCAGTTCAGTCCCTACCTTGTTGCCCAGAAAATGGAAAGTTTGAGAGTACTTTGTAATTCGGTATACAATAATCTTACTGTGAAAGAAAATCCAATTTTAGCTTATAGTTTCTTTATTAGATTGTTTCCCAATTTGTCTAATTGTTTTATTTAATGTAGAGAAAGAAAAAATTGGGAGAGTGCCATATAATGTTTGAGGGCTTTCTGAATGAAGTCAGTTTTTTTTTTTTAAATTAATGAAGCTTTGCTGGTATGAGATTTTGTTTTCTTGAAATTTATTTGGATTTGTTATGATTTCAATTTCATTTCTTGAATGCTATGCTTCAGATTCTGTCCCTGATAGTGACTTGCAAAATGGTAGGGCCTTCGCATTTTCCTTTATGTCTTCAAGTAGGATCAGATTGTAGAAGTCAAGAAATAGATTCATTCACGATTGGACAGGATTGAAATTTCTTTTGCTTCATTATTTTTCATAATGACGTGCACAATCACAATTTGTCTTCATCAATTATTCATATGCTGAGCCAAAAAAAAAAAATGTGGAATGGGAAAGCAAAGACAAAATACTAGTCATAAAATGGAAACTTATTATATGGCCAAATTCCTGAACCAAGAAAATTTTCTAAAGCAACTTCACTGCACTTTCACAAAAATAAACGAAGAAAAAGCTTCATTTCTTTTTTGAAATTAGGTTTGTATTTTATCACATATCTATTGTAATGTAATTAAATTTATCGTATCATCAGTTAAAATTAAATATCAACTTCAATTAAATTCATCTAACATAAAATTTTTATTGAATTTATTTTAATCACATTTATAATAATTTTTTAATCAAAATTACAAAAAATTTTATTACTATTTTTAATTTCATTAGAACTAATTTCACAATATATGTAAATGGTTAAAAAAATGACATCTAATTTTAACTAAAAAAAATCTCATTATCCAAACTAGTCTAAAAAGCCCAATTTGAAATGGGCTAGCTCAGAAAATTCAAATGAATAGCAAAAGCACGACTGTCAAAGCCCAACTTGCAGCCCACAATCGTAACTTTTCTCTTTGACTAGCAACGAACGAGCCTCGGGTCGGACGTTTTCAGTTTTCTTCCCCACGAACTTTCCCTAGAAAACACTTTCCTTTCCTTTCCTTTCCTTCTCTTTCCCTCAAAATGGCGACACCCCAATTCCTATCATCCTTCAAATACTCCGACAGCCTAACAGTCGTAGCCATCTCCGTTTGCACAGCCATTGTCTGCGAAGCCATATCCTGGCTCTTAATCTACCGAACCAACTCTTACAAATCCCTCAAATCCTCAATCGACAAAGCCGCCAAGAAACTTGAAACCATGAAAACCGACCAAAACCCAAACAAGTTATCCAACAAAAAATCCAAAACCAAGAAAATTGACCGTGTCGAAACCAGCCTCAAAGAATCCAGTCGTGACCTTTCCTTGTTCAAGTTCAAATCTGGGGCTGTTGTTGCGCTTGTTTTGATCGTCGTTTTTGGGTTCTTGAATTCGCTTTTCGAAGGTAAAGTTGTGGCCAAATTGCCGTTTAAGCCGATTGGGATTGTGATGAAGATGAGTCATAGAGGGTTACAAGGGGAGGATTCCACGGATTGTTCGATGGTGTTTTTGTATTTCTTGTGTTCGATTAGTATAAGGACTAATTTGCAGAAGCTTTTGGGGTTTTCGCCACCGCGAGGAGCTGCTGGTGCTGGGTTGTTCCCAATGCCTGATCCCAAGACTAGTTGATTCAATTTTAGTTGATCTTTGGGGGATTTAAGGAACTGGGTATGTGATTTTTTTTTTTTGTTTTTAATTTTAGCTACAGTTTCTCAAATGAGAATCATGATTTTGTTAATGGGTATTTAGAATTTTGGATTTTTATGTGATAATTAGTGACAATAACTGCTTTTATATTTGAATTTTTGTTCTCTGCATTTGATTATTATTGATTTGTATGAGGAGTAAGTTGCCAGTGATTGAAGTCTAGATTGGATTTAATGATTTTATATCCAACCAGTACAGCCCTTACTATCTGATTGAAATTTTTACCTATGAGAAGTTGAGAACCTGTGGGCTCTGTCATGCCTAGATTGGAATAATCCATGCTTGATTCCATCTTTCTCTAAATCTATTGAGAATGTTTTAGTGAAATGTTTGTAGTGTAATGGATGTTCATCCAGTTTCTTATTGAAGCTTTCATGGATCCAATGTCTGGCGCAATGGTTTATTGTACATATCATACAATTTATACAATCTATGAACTGGTGATCTAATTATTTGCATATCTTAATCATTTCATAATCTAGAGTATTTTGTGGAAACTGATATTAGATCCACAATATATCCTTTGCTCAGAGATTGGTCCTTAAGCTTTGAGAATACTGTTTTGTTTTGCTTGTTCAATTGTCTGGAAATGAAGTAAATCTCGATGAATTCTTTGTTCTTTTTAATTACTTTCTAATGTTGGGATTCTATTGGAAGCTTGAAGGAAGATGACCTCTATTATTTGGAGAACTCGCTGTCACAAGTTAGAACTAAGGAAGACATCATACTTGAAAGTCGTATTTCTGAGTAAAATATACTTATGAATGGTCATTGAACTTTGAGGTTAAGGTTTAGATTTGGCATGTAAAAATCTGTGAAATAAGCTGTTTAGTTTTATACTGTGCTGGGTTAGTTTAAAATATTGCTAGTGTTGCATAATATATATATATATATATATATGTATATGTATGTATGTATGTGTATGCCATCCTGTTTCTTCTTCATCTTGTGCTCTGGAATTAGGGATGGTAAAATACTTCATCCTCAACGGATTCTGCCCTGCCCCAACAGAGGTAGTTTTTTTTGTTTGAAAATAGGGGATCAGGGCTGGGCAGATCGATTTGAAAAAAAAAAAAAATCGAAATCGGGTTGAAGTTTAGTATGCCCCCCAGCTATATGTAAAAATATATATATTTTATTTTTATTTAGTTATACATCATTAAAAATATGTAAATTATGTTAATAAATTTTAAAGATTTTCAAGTAACTACCGATTATTGTGATTAGATCATGATCAATTTTTAAAGAAATTACCTCGTGCAAAAGCTAAAATTAAATTATAGTCTTGAAAGACTTTTTAGTCCACTTTTCATGTCGATTAAGCTGTAAACCTAGCTCAAAGCCTTATCAACTGCATGCAAGTACTTGTACATGCTTTTTTTTACGAGGTTGTGAAAGATTGATTCTTGATTATAATATGTTATTAACAGGCTACATAATTATAAATTCGGATATTTATATCAAATTTCTGACAAGTCTTTTTTAAAAATAAGGTTAATTAATTAAGCTAAAACTTTTATGTTAATCCCAAATCAATTTCTATATATAAATAGTTTTCCTCGCTTTGACGTAGAAGCCACCTTTGTCTTCTCTCAATTAACTTGACTTTCATCTCTGCTTAACCTTTCACTTTCTAAATGTCTAAAACAACACTAGGCTAAGCTGACTCTGCAGAGTGCTCCAATTCAATCACTCAATCAAATGCTAGTTTACCAATACCACTGTTGAGCGAAACCTCCCAAGAAATTACCCATCCATTCGTATGCTTCCGCTGCCCAAAAAGGTTCTCTTCCATGCATGCCTTGGGAGGTCACCAGAATGCGCACAAGAAGGAACGGAATGAGTTGAGCGGGCTCTCTATTGAGCAACGCCCTCGCATTGACGAGGCAGACTGCTCCTATAACTATTCCATCGTCTACGCCTCCTTTGATTGTCCTACCTGATGGTAGTGCCAAAACTTTTGGCCATTTTGCACAACCAGCGCTAGCAGTAAGGACTAATCACTCATCAGTGCCAAGCTATGGCCCTGTGGAGCAGCTGCAACCCACGACTCCTGGCTTTATCTACAGGTATGATTATCCAAACTTCGCCAGTTTTCATGCCTGCTGGGTTCGAACACGGTTCAACAAGGACAGGAGTCAAGGGTGGAGAGGTCCCATATGACGGTTCTCATCAAGAAAACCAAAATTATCATCCTTACAACAAGCCCGTCAACACGAAACCAATGCCGTTGAAGCTGTGTCTGAATGAAAAAGGGGATTTCGGGCAAACACCAGTTCCAAGGAGTACTAATCTGCTTCAACTACAACCGATGTTGGTCCAAATGCTGAATCCTTAATCAATGAAGGCAGGGAAGATGCTTATCAGAACACTTAAAAGGAGGAAGAGCTGGACTCGACGTTGAGGCTCTAAAGAAAGATGGAAAATATTGGAAGAAAAAGTAAGGATGTTTAAGGGCATCGTAAATGAGAATCTGCCGAATATACAAAAAATAAATAAAATTTATGGGGAAAAAAAAAAGGGTACTGTGGTGGTGGTCCTCATGGATATTTCCAAATTTTCTTTCTCTAACTATGCTATGTAGAAGCTATAACTTCTGGCCATGGTTAATATCCTATGCTTTCTTCCATAATTAAGTTTCAAATATGTAATTCTCAATTACTTATAATAAGAAAAAAAAATCCTGGTCTAGCTGTATTAAAAGTCAATGTTTTCTCCTTCTTCTAGTGGTTTGAAGAGCGTTATGCTCAATTCAAATTATTAGGAATCTAGCAAATATGTCAAGCATAGGAAAAAACCATTAACCAAACAGCTGATAACAAAATTCAGCCTATAGAAACGCCTACAACAACACTGAAATCTCAATATTTTAATATTAATTCCAGGTCTTGATCATTTGCAAAAGTGTTTTCTATATATATAAATTGTATGTATATGTAAGAAGAAAGATCATCAGGTTTTCATGCATCAGGTAAAATTTTCTATTCAAAATTTCTCCCAAACAACACATGAATGTAGCAGTGACTGTAGTCTTTTAAGAGGATAGTTAATTGCCCAAATTTGTTTTTATTGAACTACGTCCTCTTCCTTGGACTGATGCAAGTAATGAGATGCCTGAGGATGGATGGAGTTATTAGGAATTAGGATGAGCGTGCAGACAGGGTTAATGCATGCTTATACAGGGTGGTTCCTTTGCCTAAAAAGTCGCAATTTTTGCTTCTAATCTCTAACTGATCAAAGCAGTGGAAAAAAAAAAAAACCGTGAGAAAGGTATGGTACTTAATGATTCAATAGTTCTTTTCCTTTCCCTCTTTCTCTCATTTCAAATCCTAAACTTATCGGGGGGTTTCTTCATATTTTCAGAAAGAACAAAAATGAACCAGTTGGCCAATGCAATAATAAAAACATAACGCTTCATTAATGAATCCAAATTGTTTGACTCTAAAGATTATTACACAGTACTGCAATTTTAAACCTTTCCTTGAATCATTAGTTTGACAAAACCTTAATTTTCCATATCTATTAAAAGATGTGTTTTCAGCATAAGTTACAATTTTATTTCTTGTTCAGGTCCAGCACTCACCTCTATATATCCTTTGCTTTGTAGCCTTTTCTTTTTCACTCTATATAATTCCTTTGCCTTTTTCCTTTCATCGTCATCAATCAAAGTTTTTAGCTGAGCCATTAGGAACTTAGATAGGGGCTTAATTGGGCCTTC